TAACCCTAAAATATAAGATTTCTTTAAACTTAGAATATAAGATTTCTTTAACTTTAGATTATGAGACTTTTTTAATTTTAAAATAGACTTTTATAATTTTAAATTCTTTTAACCTTAATTTAATACCTAAATAATTATTTTCCTTTTATTATTTCTTTTTTAGTAAATAAATATAAGAGTATTTATTTTTATATATAATAATATAAAGTTATTATTAAATTTATAATTATATATTATTTAAAATAGTATAATAATAATATCTAATAATTTTCTTTAGATTTTCTTTTTAGATATTAATATAATTATTTTAAAAATAAAATATAATTTATAAAAAGAGAAAGTAAATTATAATTAGAAAAAATTATATATATATATAATATATATTATAAACTTAAATTTTAAATATTTTTATTTAAAATATTTAAAATTATTAAAGAAATTTAAAATTATTTAAAATTAAAAATTTTTAATTAATTAGTAAGCTAGCTTAAATAAAACTAATAATATTAGAAAAGTTATTTATATAATAATATTTTAAGTAGGCCCGGCTTTATAATTATATTATAATTACTATTAAATAATATTTAAAATATAATTAAAAATCTTTTCTAAAGTTACTTTTTTTTTAAGTCTAAATTTAGTTATATTTACTAATTATAATTTAAATTTATTTTAATTTAAAAAACTATTTAATAAATAATAATTTTAAAAATTATTATAATTTTTAAATTTAAAATTTAAAATATATATTATTTAAAAATATTTAAAATTTATATTTTTATTATTATTACTTTTTATTTTAATATAATATTAAAAATTTTAATTTTTTTTTATTTATAAAATTATATTATTATAATAATAAAAAAGAAAATATTAATAAAAAAATATTTTTTAAGATTTTATAAATATAAAAAGGTAAAAAATATATTTTTTAATTATAATTTAAAATTATAATTATTTTTTTCTTTTTTTTTCTTAAAAATATATTTTTTAATAAGTTTTTTAAATTTTTTAAATATAATAATTATTAATTCTTTTTTTAATTAGCTTTATTATTATTATTTTTCCTAGATTATTTTATATAATAACTTTAAATAATTTTTCTATTATTTTATATATCTAAATATCTATAATAAGCTATACTATTAAAAAGCTTTAATAGATATTTAAGCTAACTAACTCTTACTAAATATTACCTCTAATAATTGATTTCTAATAAAAAACCTCTCTCTAACTAGATTCTAACTATATTCTATTTTCTTCCTTTCTTTTCCTTATTAAAACTTTCTTATATAATAAGCTTCTATTAAATAATACTATTTAACTAAACCCTTATAATATCTCCTATTTAATACTTTTATAATCTCTAGCTTCTTTTTATTTAAAAACTTCTTATAATTATAAAATAGCTTTATTTCTATTAATTAGCTATTTTAATATCTTATTACTATTTCTACTAAAAGAACTATAATACTTCTTCTAAGACCTATTTTTAATTATTTAATTAACTATTTCTTTTTTTATTTCTTATAATATTTCAGGTAGGCTGTACTACTCTATCTTATTATCTAATAAGTTAGACCCCCTACTTGTTATTACCCCCCCCTTTTTATTACCCTTTTCCTATACAAAATAGCGATTTGTAGGGGTCTATATCTCTACTAATTCTATATATATAATAATAAAATTTTGTATATAGCTTCTTTTTATAGTTATTAGTAAGGAAAAAAATATAAAGTTGAAATTTTATAAAAGCTTGTTATGTTATAGATAGTTAAAGAACAGATTTTAAAATCCTATATAATTATATATAAACTAAAACTAACTATAACTAAAGTAATATAAAATATTATATAATTAAAAAATATTTATTTAATTTTATAGAAAATTAGCTTTTAAAAGATATTATTTTCTAAGCTATAATATTTTTTTAATATTTAGTTTTAAAAGTAATCTTTTTCCTTAGTTAATTTTATATAGAGAAAAGTAATTACTATAATACTTAAGTTTAAAAATACTTATAAAATAGTAAATAATATCTTTTAAAAGCTAATTTTCTATAAAATTAAATAAATATTTTTTAATTATATAATATTTTATATTACTTTAGTTATAGTTAATTTTAATTTATATATAATTATATAAGATTTTAAAATCTATTTTTTAACTATCTATAATATAATAGGCTTTTACAAAATTTCAACTTTATATTTTTTTCCTTACTAATAACTATAAAAAGAAGCTATATACAAAATTTTATTATTATATATATAGAATTAGTAGAGATATAGACCCCTGTAAATCGCTGTTTTGTATAGGAAAAGGGTGATGAAAAGGGGGGGGTGACGACAAGTAGGGGGTCTAACTTAGAACCTTCGAGTAATAAAAAAAAGTAGAGATATAGTCCTCCTAGTAGTAGTACACAGACCCCCTTATTAAACCCTAGAAAAAGCCTATACTACTTCGTATTTAGGTTGTATATCGCCAATGTGGGTGGTCATCCCCCAAATTATCCGCGTCCGGCTCCTGCAGCCTCCAATCTCTCTCGCCCCTGTCCCTCTTCCGATTTTCTCTTACGGCGCCGAGATAGAGGATTGTACAGCTCAGACCACAAAGCCACATCATGCCTAAGCTGACTCCAAGGCCGATCGGATATAACGGCTTCTGATACTCCAGGAATATATTTGAAGCCACAATGCCTCCTAAATTTCCCACGCCAATTTGTACCGCTGATGATACCGATCGCTTGTAATGACCACTCTCCATGTTCGATAACCAACCAAGAACCAGTGGTTGAGTGATGTAGCCTCCGGACACGATTAGAAACAAGGCGAAGTACTTTACCGCCACTGTAAGTCGTTCTTGAGTGAGGAGGAGAATGTAACCCACGGTCGCTATGATAATGCCAACCATGGTGAAGGAATAGCGGTGCCGCACACGATCGGCTAGATATGCGCCCGCAAGACAAGTTGCAGTTGCCACAACATACACAGGAATGGTTCGGACTTGAGCTTCTTCGGCTTTGAAGCCCATTTCGTTGAGGATGGTCGGGATAAAGAACTTGCAGGTATTAGCGATGCCGGCAATCGAAACGAGGATTTGATGGAGCATTAATCAGGGAGAGGGCAGCCTACCGAACCCGCATAGCCGGTATTCACCACACCGAAGTATGCCATAGTACCAAGATAAATCTTCCAGTCCTTGGTGATGCGTTTCGCGGCATGCTTGTTGAGGTGGTCCATTCTCGCTTCTCCGACATCCTGCGCAATGCGGCTGACAAGCAAAGCTCTCTCCTCTTCGCTGAGGAAGTGAGCAGTCTCAGGCCAATCTGGGATCCACCACTTTGATACAACACCAACAATAGCCGTCAGAATGCCTTCGAGAATGAAAATCCTAAGCAAAGATTCCCGTGAGCTGGATGGCCGGTGATGTGAGAAAGGAATACCGAACTAACCAACGCCACGCCTCGTATCCGCCAACCCCAGACATGTTCGCAATAGCGAAAGCCAATAGACCGGAGAAGGCGCCAGCTGTAATACTTCCACAAAAGAATAGCGACATGCGCCACTGTACTTCGTATCGTTTGTAGTACATACTAATCAGGTAGATACAACCTGGGCGAAACGCGTCGCCGTCAGCATGCAGACGCGAAACTGAAGCTCCTGAGGACTCACCTGGGACAATGCCGGCTTCGAAAATTCCCAACAGAACCCTGCATGCGATTAAACCGTTATTATTTTTAACGAGTCCCATGCCGACGGTGGAGATTCCTGAGGTGCAGAATGAGCATCTATTCATCCGTATCATTGTGAAATGAGGCACTTCACAAACCCCATAAAGTAGTGATTGAGCTCAGCCATATAGAGGGCGGCAAGCGTTTGATAACGAGATTCGATGGAACTTCGAATAAAATGTACTAAAATATCAGGGTTAAGACGTAGTGTTCCTCTTGATCATGTATTGGGATTCTGGATGGGCATACTGGAATGAAGAAAACAAATAAGGCGATATTGTAATCAGATCCTGTCATTTTCAAGTCGCCAGTCATGCCTTGAATTCTCGCATTTCCTAGACAACGCGACGTTTAGCGATAATTCTGGCCCAGGTCGTCTAGACGTAGGCTGGGAGCAGGAAAACAAACCAATGTTAGTGCGATCCATGAATGAGAGAAAAAAGATTACTATCAAAGGCGGCAATAGATGCAGGTCGCATTTCCGCAGGAGCTTCTTCTCGGTCTCCGCGTCGATGACAAGCATGGATCCGGAGGCACTCTCGACATGCTTCGAATCAACACCGACATCGACCTTATCTAACGGTTGAGAAGACATGTTGTGATAGTGTGTAGTCAAGTGAGATTGTTGGGTCTTTAGGAATGCAGCTTTTGGAAGGCATGGCCGGCAACAAGCTTATCATTATATACTAGATGTTGTGGGAGTCTAGGACTTGGAACTACACAACTTTGCCGGACGATCCCCCACAAATGCACTAGTGGCCACCACCCCGAAATCCTGGGGTAGTAGTGGGCCATGCCTAGAGAACAATCTGGGGTAAAAGGCGGGGAACCCCATATTAGAGAACCGAGGCCAACCATCGAAGCTTGCAGGCCTCGCTTGAGGAGCTTGGGTCTCGTTGATAGCACGAGATGTAAGATGTTCGCCTCCCGTAGGATTTTTCCCGCACTATTTTACACCTGTTGAGATCTCTTTATGGAAATGGACTCTCCAAATGTGGCATGTGGTCATTTAATAAAACTGGCCGGTATCCCAGCTCGTCATGCCATCATGATCCAAGAGTCATATTTACCCGAGGTATTGGTTTCTAACAGCTCGAATCTGCTTACAGGGGTATCCCATGTGGTCGGGAGAGTGTTGACGCGTCCAGGGCCCAAGAGAGGTTGTACTTGGTTTAATGCTAAGCGTGCTTCGGTTCCGTTCCGAGTAGGGCTCGGAAACCAATGAGGTTTCCGAACTCTAGTTCCGGGGACGGTGATTTATCGCAAAACAACCCCCTGTAAGGATTAGTGAAGCATGCTTCAGTGCAACGCTGGAGCGGGGAAACTCCCAAAGATGGTCGCTCTTGCTTTCCGTTTCCGAGCGGGTGATTGTAGCTGGGACATGATCCAACCATGGGAGATCGGGGTTGCACGCGAAGCTCGTATACTAAATAGGTCGAAAAGCTTAACAAAGAAGCTTCTCTCCATTGGATCGGAGGGTATACTATACTCTACATGCAAAGAACCGTCACGTATCATCCAGGCTACAGTTTCCGTACACCCATTCCATCCATGCCACCTATCCCTCACAAATTGAGCTCCGACAGCAACCCCCCAGGCCAGATCTTATCCGTCTAGACTCTCCCAGAGGAACATTGGCCTTTGTACCGATACGTGCTAATGTGCTGCAAATACCAATACAACTCTGTGGTCATGTCAAAAGTGATGCATTTATTCCGGAGCCACTTGTCCAATCCTGCATTAAACCGCCTAAAACCACCGCATTTGGCTCCACCTTGGGGTAATGCGGGTTCGTGATGAATCCTCATTCCGTTTTGATGTGGACGGCACCTGTGTCGATCTGTTTTGCGATTGCAAGGGGCCCCCCAAGTCCCAGGAGAAGACGACGGAGCTGAGTCCATATGCTGTATCACTTTCAATAGGGAGGGCCTCCTTCTCGTTTTCGAAACTGATGAGAGAAACGGTAAGGCAGGAGGACTCCATCTTGGAGAGATTCATGTTTGGAGTTACATTGCCGACGGTAATCAGAGTCTAGGTGGTCTTCGTGGAGTTGGCAGCATTCACGTGTCCGTAGACGAGGCTAGCACCTTCGCTAAGTGCGACGTGCACTAGGCTTTTTTTCTTCTCTACAGCAGCCTCAGTGATCATGAACGGCCCGGTGCTGAACGCTTTCATGAAAGGAAAAGCCGAAGAGTCGCTGATGAAGGCCAAGATCTACATGGGTACATCGACTTGAAGAAGAACTACGGAACTGAAGACAGCAGAAAGGTAGCAAAGGCAGATAACGATGCGGGCAAGGCTTTAAAGGCATTAATAGATAAGATTGACGCTTTGGTGGCAGAATGCAAGAGATATAAGCTATTCATTTGGCCAAACACGTTTTAGGGGGCTTCCAACTCAGACGTACGTCCATTCAGACAACATATAATAATATATCAAATTAGTCAACGTCATCTTCATAGAGAGATGGTAGATATGCCACCACGACTTCCTGTCCGTGTATTTCGAGCACTGCCTTTTGAAAGCTGTCTTTTAATCCCTCATCCATCCTCCAGTCCCATGAAAACACTGCGAGTCGCGGGGCTGTTATCGGAAGCTCCCCTCCTTCAGGCTCGACCTCATAGTCGGCCTCGTGACCTGGGGCCCCGTATGCGAGAAACATGTAATTTCCATTTCCCTGCCTACAGAACCGTAGATTGGCACGCGTGAGCACCGGCATTTGCGCGAGGGCTTTAGAGAATGATTCAAGTACGGGGCCGATGACGTCTTCATTAGGAAATGTCCTGAACCATTCACGGCCCTCATGGAGGTCCATTTCCCTCTCAAGTTCGATGATGGCGTCCTCGTACTCCACTGCCTCCTCGGTCTCGACGGCAGATCCGTAGCCAGGAGCAAGGTGCATAGAATCCGCAGGGAGGGGTATCTCGCTCTCAGGACTGTGGAAAGGATTTGTCTCGTCCAAAGTCGTAAAATACCACCTTCCGGAAGGGGATTGACACGAGAGTTCGATGTCGAGGTCAGTAAGGTGAGACCAAAATGGTGCCGGTGCCTTCTCCTCGGGTGCTGGCCAGAACAAGGTTGAATCCGCTATACCCTCGTATTGGAAGGTCTTAGTGCTTACGGATAACTTACGCAAGGTTGCACTGGTCCTATCGTAAGAATAAGGGCTAATGAGATTCGGCAGGCGGTCTTTATCCCAGAAGTCTGGGGCCTCGAAAGAAACATAAAACTTGTCCACGAATGCAGGCAGTTTCGAAGAATAGCCTTCCGCTCCATCCACCAATCCGCCGCGGATTTCCCGGCGAAGCAGGTGAAGTATTCCAGGATCGCGGGTACTCCAGCTTACAGAGGTCGCTCGAGGGAAGCAATGAGTTAGGGTAAGATGGCTGCAAAGGTCCATGTCGCGGGTGGCGAGTGAGCTTGGGGAGAACTGAGTGACACATTTCACCTCGGGGAGCTGAGAGGTTCGACGGATTGTGATGAACGAATTCTGGTACCTCTTTCGTTCGAGGTGCTCAAATGGCCGCTCATTGATGGCGCGAAAGCGAAGGTCCGATGGCGAAGAGAAGCCCAGGCATAGAACCAGCCCGGAACCAGCGTCCCACGTGCTTAAAAGTGTAAAAAGACGTCTGAGCTGAGCCACGGCCAACTCGTTATCGACCTGCCTCTCCCCATCGCTCTCATACTTAAAACACATCTCTCGCTTATATTCGGTGAGATAGATAAGAACGTTTAGACTTGTGAGAAACTGCCTGCGCTTGCCGAACACGATGCGGCCAAGATCAATGATATCGCTACTGGTGATGTTTAGCGTTTGGAAAACTCTCTGCTCTATGATCGGTTGCCACCGCCGAGAGAGAACGGACAGATGAGCGATACGCTGATGCTTCCCTCTTCGATCTTCGTCTAGGAGTCCCAAGCTTTCCCTTGGGGTATATAAGAGGCAGGCGATGTGGTCGCATATCTCAGTGGGCAATGTATCCATTGTCAACGGCGCTATCTGAGATGGAATTTGGAAATGATTTGACATAATCCCAGGTCTTCTGGTGTGGGGTGTGATGCGAGGTTGAGACGCCCTCCTCTTTTCATAGCGTCTCGAACTCTTTTCTTCGATGTTTATTTAAAGGGGGCTAAACAACCCCGCTCTTTCTCCCAATGCCGAATCGCGAGCCCTCCCATCCTACTTGCAGTTCAATGCTCTTCCCAGTGCACGACTGATCAAGAGAGGTGCCTAAATCAATTTCATTGATGGCCGCGGCGCTGTGAACCGTGCATGTAATCATGTAATGTGTGTAGAGAATTAACTGATTCATTTTAATGTGATCGTTGTATTTCGTAAAGGAATATAAAAATGAGGCTCGTCGATGGGGATTTAATGATATATTAATGACTCGTACGGCTCACAAACTATTGTCGGGCCGCGTGGTTATGGACAGGATGCCGTTTGTCCTTAAATCCTACTTTAATTAAATTACTTAGTAGGTTTCATTGTCAGAAGAATTACCCCCCGGAATTCTAGGCTGAAAACCACACCGCTAGAAATATCCGTTCGGGAATAATTTTTTCGTCCCTAATTGTCCCTTAACCAGGTTTCAATATCACGTCCCTCAGATACCTCTTCTTACTTTTCAGACCCCAGATCCTGGACACTCGATGGAGAAATGAACAATCACCCACTCAGCCCAGTACGGCCAGGCTTGCATGAGCTGTTTCAAGGCCAAATGGCCCTGTGTTCTGCGGTCCGACGGAGGCGGCTGTGTGTCTTGTATGATCTACTTACAGCTAGACCATTTGACTACAAAAAGATACTCCAAGTGTCGCGACCAGCGCCAATTGACTGTAAGTAGTCTTATATAGCCACTGCACAGCTGTCCTTAGACTGTAAAAGGTTAGTGGTGGGACTACCCGAAATAGGACAAACACCCTTCGCCGCGCACCCCGGATGACAAAGACGGTTCCCTTTCAGGTGCCACCGTCTCAAGATGGCGATGTAACGCCCTCCGATTCGGAAATTTCCAATCCACCAGGCCATGCGGCAGAAAGAGTTGATTGGGTGGACCATGGAAATCTGACGCACAGGTGTCCGCAGATGTCGTTTCTTTTCCTTGCAGCTACTATGTCACCGCCTTTGGCCTTGTGCACTTTGCAAAGTAATAAAGGTTCAGCCGTGACAATGCCGGTCTACGGAACACCCGGAACACCGGCTCGGCAATGAACCGGACCGCAGTGTGCTAACCGGTTGCCAAACCTAAATTCCCCCGGGCCGTCAGGTATTATCGATGTATAATAGAAATTGGTCCTCCTGCCAGATTCCTCTAACAAATCAACTGATCTCCTTGCATTCCATCATGGCTCAGGCAGAGCACCCTGTAATACTGCGCCCTCTAAGTGAGCCGCCAACTGATTTGTACAGGGATACATCCAACCTCTGGAATAAGCTGACAATCAATAGGCCTATTGGAGCAATACTCAAGCACCCGAAGTAATCTAGGTATCTACCTTAACGTTTGTGTGACGGCGACTTATAAGCGCCACTCCACTAAACGCCTTCGAGATGCGTTATACTCTAGCCTCGCCGTGATAATTCAGAGGCATCCTTCACTCTCGGCCGTTATTACAGACGTTGAAACGTCAGCCCCGCGCTTCGTCCGACTATGTAGCATCGATCTATCGTCACGCAGGACGATAAGCCCGACCTAGATACAATTCTACAGGAGCAGCACAACCTTCCCTTCAGACTCGAAAGCCCTTTCCTTCCGCTCTGGCGAGTTCATGTCGTCACACAGGCTATTGATAGCTCGACTTTCGCCCTCTCTTTTGTCTTCCATCATTCTATCGCTGATACTAAGAGCGCAATCATTTTCCTCAAGGATTTAGAGAGTACTCTAGGCTTCCAGACTAGCCCGCTCATATCGCCCATTGTGGTGACTCCCACGCTACCGCTTACTCCAACGCTGGAGTCAGTATGCCCGCTTCTACTCAGGCCCGGATTTTTAGAAACTCAAAGAGACCCAATGCGCATACCCGACAATGTCTGGTCCGGAACTCTACAGTTTCTGCCGGTAAAGACTCGCTTCAATTCACACTTCCTTCCGAGACAGACGACAATAGCATTCCAAACCTTATCCAAGAGGAAGGGGGTGTCTGTTACCTCCGCCCTTATGGCCCTTTTCGCATCTGCTTTGTTTCACATTTTGCCTGACTGTTATACAAGAGTGCAAGGTGATTGCGCCGTTTCGTTACGCCACTTCCTCTCGCCACATGTGGCCCGTCGAGATATGGGGTCCTGGGTTGGTTCTTTCAGCCAGAGCTACAGTCGGTTCGAGGACTCGGTATAGGATAATGCGAAGAAGACGAAGATTACGATAATGACGCTGTTAAAGGGAATGGGGCCGATATGGCCGTGGGATATTTGCGCCACGTGCCCGACATGGCTGCATGGTTTCGGAGCAAACTCGGGAAGTGAAGGCCGGCCGCTTGGGAACTTAGCAACGTTGGCGCGTTGGCACCGCGGGAGGAGGGAGAAACCGTTGGTTGTGAGATCGAGAGCCTGTTATTTAGTCAGAGCGCTAGTGCCTGCTCCGGCGCTATCAAATTGAGTGTGGCGACTGGCAGAGACGGGAGGCTTGGCCTTGGATTTACTTGGCAGGACGGAGTCGTGGAAGCTGAGTTGGTTTATTAGCTGATCGACAAGTTCTTCGCGTTGCTGGAGATAGAGATACAAGATGCGGAGAGTTGAGAAATAACAATTGAACTTACCTAGATATATACCTAACCGGCCACAGTTTAGACTTGCGGACAAAGCATCTCCCCAATATTGTCTGATCTCAACATCCGTTGTGGCGTCATTATGCTCTAGCGATATGCTGTGGGAAAGTAGAATGTTTTATAATACACTCAGGTTAGCTAGCCGCAGAGCATATATCTAACAATAATGCTTTCTTTTACTCTATTATATTTACAAGCTACTTGAAAGATAAATGTAGACCTAATAGAGATGTATATATAAACTCATTTATTTTCTAAGTATAACCTTTAATCATCAAGACGAAGGGTGCAACTCGATTAAAGAGCTAATCTTTTAAAGTTCATATATTTATCGATTCTCTAATTTTTAACTATATGACTGTATATCCTAGAAGCAGCTTCTCCCGCTGAAATTCACATTGCTAGTTTTTAATAGAGGTTGGAGGTTATTGAGAATTCTTGTTCCCCAGTCAATTGTGGTCCTATGAATGTCGAAATAGGGTTTTGAAATCCGCGAGCTTAGTTATAATCACACAAGGGGGAAAGGACAAAGAAAAGACGGTCAATTGAAGTCGTGCAGCTCTGGAAGGTGAGGCAAGCGGGACGGCTGTAGTGGAGAGGATCTTGATTGCTCGTTCAAACTTGCTTGTCTCTCCTATAATTACTACCCCGACCCAGGATTTTTTTTCTGCCACCGAGACCAACCTAAATCGGGAGATAAAGTCAGTCGCAAGACAACAATGTGCCAATTAACCCCATGACTGTAGTACGTCCTGGGGGGAGCTAGCCCGATATTTTACCCGGTCACCGGGCCGGTTGGCTCCCTGGTCGAACCTCACAATGCTGCACCATATCTCAATCGGGCTAGTGCAGGCGAGGCGGAAACACACTCGTTTCCGATAGTCGTGAAACCGGCTGTGCAACCAAGACACCCGCTCTACGACTTGGCCACCGGCTCTCGACTTGGACACCGGCTCGGCTATTTCGACATACTATTCAAACGCACGGGAAAGGCAGACTCGTGTTGCTCATGCTCCGTGGACCGAACTTGAGAGGCTCGCTTAAAGATATCTAGAATACATTTAGAATCTTCGTGGCAAGGGGCACAGATAAGTATTTTCTCTCTCCATTATCTATCTTGTGCTTTCGATTTCCTTTAATATGAAAAATTCGGCTGCTTCAGCGGCAGGTATGAAGAGATTCGGCATCAAGGTTGGTGCGTGCGGCGTGAGAACGGTCTACCTCCGATCCACGTACGACTGATGTTCATTCTGAGGAGGAACATAGCAAGTTTTGAAGTTTCGAAAGTCTAGTTGATTAATGACGAGCTCTGCTTCTCATTCTCCGTCCCGATCTTAATTACTGCGATAGAAAGAGCCATCGCTGATCAATAGGTGTAGAGATAAAAAGAAAGACGTTTGCAAATAGTGGGGGGAGGGACACGCTCCAGTATCAGAGTACAGCTGGAAAAAGAATCGGGGTAGGAGCAGGAGAAGGGAGCACCCTTTCTTCTCTACATTCATTTAGATCTTCATGGTTTAAATTATCGATTGGTCTTAGAAGCCGGTTCCGGCATCGGTACTAGTTCGGCTCTTTTTAGCCTCCCCCAACTTCCCATTCACTTAGTTCTAATTCCAGGAGCTCGAACTCATTCTCTTATCTTCCGGCTTGTGTGTTTAAGTCTTACAGAGCGCTATACTACCTTTTTTTTTTTTTTTTTTTTTTCCGCGTTTTTCTTTTTAACATTTCTCTTTCATTACATGTGTCCTTTCAAATCCTTGCTATTGTTTCCGGTTGAGTAACCGCTCCATCGCGATACGCCTTTGAGCTTTGATGCCTTCATATGAGGCGCAAGTGATAGCTTGCGACTATGGAAGTGTGCGCTCACTCACTTCGAAAGATTGATGACTTACGTGGCTAGGGATAGAGCACTGCCTGAACCACTTCCTCGGTAGTAAGCTTTTATTTCACTCTTCTAAGAAATTATTCTTCCTAGACTTCGTTAGTTCTACCTTCCTTAATATATCTATAATAATAAGATAATAGGAAACTATTTAAAAGATATTATTTTATTGAATCTTATATAATAGTTTTAGTAATACTCGGACATCAGGGGTGACTCTAGTGGGAAATGGTGGGGTTATTGACGGCAAGAACTTGAAAACTCTAAATCGGTGATGGACTCACATTGCGTCGTCTTGATTGTTGCCTCGTTGACCGCGACTGCTGTTGCGCTCTTCATAAATCGAATCAATTGTGCCCACAAGCCTATCAGGTTAATTACCGCACGAAAAGTGCCCTTCAAACGGGTTACGCTGGGGCTTTGGGCCTTTGCAGTTGCCGTAACATACCTCCATGGATCATCCTCCTAGTGCTCACAAACAGAGGCAGCGTCACGTACCCGACCGGGAGCGCAAGCGCGCCGCGAGGGCGTAAGCGTAATAATGTGTACTTTCAACTGGCTCGAATCTATTGGCTAACATGGTCCGCAGTTGCGATGGCTGCCGGCGCCAGAAGGAAAAATGCGATGGCGGGGTTCCCTGCCGGAGGTGTATCAGGCTGCGGAGGGAATGTCTTTTCCTAGGCCGGCCACCTAGACTGGTTAACCATGTTAGGGACTTGCCGGAGAAGTGAGTGGTCAGATCGAGAGCTTGACCTGACTATTGGAGGACGGAACTGACCCAAGTGGCTGCTTTTTTCAGTGCTCAAACCCCAAATCTGGCTACGGACACGAACGAGCTAGCTCAACGGCTGGGTTACATGGAGACTCTATTGAAGCATTATGTCGGAGACATCAGCCTAGATCTTGAAAACCTACAAAGACTTTCTGAATCACTAAATAGCGAGTGCTTAACCCAAACGGCTCGGGGTGCGCAATCGATATCCCGAGGATCCGACTTTGCAGGAATAGAAGAGGAGCGTTTTACAGTACTGCCACTCGGGAATAACGCTATACGTAAGTTTATCTTGTGGTATAATGAGTGGAGATTATTTTACTCAAATGTGTGTTATAGACTACTCCGGCGAGTTCTCGCACTGGAACTTCTCAATGAGAATTAAGAAATGGCTCCAGCTCTGCGCATCCGGGACTGACCAACAGTCGCGCCAGGATACTCTGGGTGGATTCAAGTTTAAAGAGTATTACCGTGCTGAGGAGCTTCAATCTTCGGAGACCTTCTCGTCTCTCTCCTCCCTGCCCCCTCGTCACATAACCGACTTTCTCGTCCAAGTCTTCTTCACCCACGCGAGAACCAACTACTTTTACGTCGACAAGGCGTGGCTCCTCAACAAAATTGATTATGTCTACTCAAACTCCGAATCTATAAGCCAACGTGACGCCAGCACCGTCTGCATCATTTTTACCGTACTCGCTATTGGCACACAGTACGCTTACCTTGGGAGACCTGTCGAGCCTGGCAGCCACGGCCGCGGCCGCGGCCGCGACCAGGACCCAGCTGGCCCCTTCTCCGAGGACGCTATCGGTGTTGTGTTTTACCAGCAGGCTTGCAAGCTGGTGCCCGATGTCATTACCCTGGCCTCCCTCGAAAGTGTCCAGGCATGTCTGCTTATCGGCGTTTACACCCTTCCCCTCGATGCCTCTGGGTTGTCGTATATCTACTTGAATCTAGCTGTCAGGGTCGCCATACAAAATGGTATGCATAGGAGGCACGGTGGTGAGGGACTTGATCCTATCGTGCGCGAGACATGGAACAGGGTGTGGTGGACAGCGTACACTATGGAAAGGTAGAAGATCCCCTCCCGGAATTGACTTACCATGCTCTGACATTGGGACCCATGATACGCTGATAAAGCTAACTAAAATTCTCTTTCTATGGGGTTTAGGCGCGTGGGAATATTTCACGGCCGACCAATCTCGATCGCAAGCCAGGATGTGGATGCGGAATTGCCCCTCGATAATCCGGGCGTCCCACGGGACCCGGCATCGAATCATTTGGCTGCTGTTCTGGAGACTGTACAGCTCCACGAATTACTAGCCGAGATATCCAAGGAGATGTAAGCTAAAGTCCCATTTGTTCCGATCTCCCTAATCCCTCCCTTTCTTTAAGTTGAACTAGAGTTATAACTTGCTACAGATCAGTTTTGCGACAACCGACCATGCCTGGTGCCATGAACACGCTTAGCCGCCTAATCGACTTGAAGAATGCCGTCCACAAGTGGTGGGACGATCTTCCTGGAGATGTCTTCTGCAAGGAGCCTACCCGACAGAGTCAGATCCGCCGTTCCGACATGCACCTCCATCTCGAGTACTGCCTCGTCCGCATGTTCACCGGGCGTCCCTTTATCCTCCCTCGTTTCCGCTCCCGTAACAACACCGGTTCGGGGGTCATACGTTCCCCCTCCACCGACAGCAGTACAGCAGATTCGCGGTCAATCCTCGCATCGGATTGCGTAGCAGCCGCTCTTGCCGTCGTCGATACTTGCAAGGTCCTGAAGGAAACTATTGGTCTCGCACGCGCCTCTTACACTGAATTCAGCGCCTGTCGCGCCGCCCTACTGGTTATCATTGCGCAGTGCCTGCAGGAAAGGACAGACCGCCTGCGCCAATACCTTGGGGACGGTCTCGCTATGATTAAGGTCATGTCAGCAGGCGGCGAGTCTGCGCGCTCGGAGGCGTCCCTTATCGAGGTGTTTGAGCGCGCCATCTCCCGCCTATATCCTGTTAATTATAGTGTGGACTCAGAGAGCGTCTCGGATTATACTCGATTTAAGCAATGGGAGACACTCTGGCGAGGCAACTCGCCCAATGAGCCCCAGCCACGCCCTAATCTTGGACCTGCGATGGCTCCCGCCTCAACAAATTTAAGGGAGGAGGCCGCGGGGCCTACGAGATTAGAAGCAGTTCAGCAGGCGACATCCTCAGTTGCTATAGATTGGAATTTTCCTCCCCTGCCACAGGATTTAGATGAGTTCTCGTCAATGTTTGGACAAAGGGATAATGGCGAGAGTAATCCAATCGGGTCGTATTTCAATAATATGTTTACATGAAATATCGACCTGAGAAAATTGCTTTGTATGGTATAATAGAACTATAAGTTAAAAACCCCGTTTCAGTTATAAGAACTGTAATATCCGGTAGTAAAGGAATACCCCAGCATGCAGTTACACTGCCCTCACAATGTGTCGACCTCCAATCTGGCGAGGGAGTACGCAAGCACTAAAGCCTGAGTTTAAACTTGCAAAATGATCCGACGTAGGGCATCGATATGTAACAGGTATTGATGGGTCTAGCCGACAACAGAGGCATGTTCTACGAAAAGATCGAATTGTCAGCCAAGGCTTCAGGGGAATGACTTTGATGGCCTACCACGGCTATTACCAGATACACTCTCCCTCTGCTAGAAACTGGGCAGACGGTACATCTCGATCAACTCTCTCGGTATAGTTAAAGAGGATGGATCTGATTGGAGTGCTAAATCTGTTAACCGGTGGAAAGTGGCGTCGCTCAGCTGCTGCGGTTCAATTGGCAAGCTCAGCTCTGAAGGTGGACGTCGCGAACTTGAATTCGGACGCCGTGCCTGTTCAACTCGCGGCGGGTTCTACACCAACGGATGTGGTATCCAATAGGCTGGTTCAACCCGCCGTTCGTCGAATCCACGTCGTGAAATGATTGGAGAGAAAGGAAAGTACCGATTTAAGAAAGAACCCGGCTTCGGTTTTATTGGTGGGTATGTTTGGATGTAACATTTAGGGATCCGATGGGTTTTTCAAGCCGGCTCTGTTTCCAGATAGATGTCTGTCTCTCTAATTTAACCTTGTCCTTTGGCCGGCGTGGGCTGGGTTGTAATATTAGTGGGATGTAACGATGGTGAGCTCCCAGCTATCAGCCCTACAAACGTCCATGAGCTGCGTTCGTAGTACCACCGGCATCCCGACAGAGAAGGGCTCACAAGAAGAACTTGCTATTTACTAAGTCGACTAGATTCACCACCGCTGGTGTCGGGATTCCCAGAGACTCCAAACCTTCCTGGTTTAGTAAGTCCGAATTAAGCGCCATGGACATTGGTGTGAGCCCGAGCCAAGTCGATTCGCGCACCCTGTTCGACAAGGATACGGGGCCCCAGTTCCAAGGTCGCTAGAACACGATATACTGATGTAGGGCTGTGCGGTCAAAGGTTTCTTGGTGGTTGACCTTTGTACGGTCAACCAGTTCTTCGATGTTCTCTTCCCTAGTGAAAAGGGATTTGACAGTCCTTCACCCCGCCGAGTCATTCGATAACGCAGTGTCGAGCGACCCAAAATATCGTATACGTTGGGCAGCGTATCCGAGGGTGCTCGTACCATCATCTTGGCAGAGATCATCCTGGAAGCAAGATGAGCTCGAACGCCATTCTCCGGTGAGACTTCGATGGGAGGGTGTGGTCGGCAATGCTAGCTACCGACTGAGCAAGATCACGGGGATCCTGGCGGTATCTCCTGATGGCGGGGAGAAAGCCGTCTTTCGTCTTCTGGAACTAGAGGGTTACGCCTAAACTAAGAATCTTACGGAAGCACTCAACGCCGGGATTATTTAACTCCCTCACAGTTTATCTATGGGGCAGTAGTGCCAGAACCCATAGAATCGTCGACTTTGCTTGTTATTCCGACCTCTCGCCCACGGGATACCTCTGCGTATCGGCAGCGCCCATCCTCCCATTGGAGCAACCGGCCGTCGCTGTGTTCTTGCACAGGGTATATGCAGGTGTCTTCCTAACTTGCCTGGCTCTAGCACCGTCTGTGTCATGGGTTGCGGGCTTTAATAAAGTCCGTTCACAATTTAGCAATACCACTATCCGATACAAAGGCCGGCCTGCCGACAACACCACTCTGTGCGGTGGCGGGACAGTGCACCATGACGGATGGGCCGACATTGGTGACCGCCAGTTATGTCACCCTCAATGTCTTCTCCGACGGCCACCTTGCCGGCCGTGGGAACTGCTGGGGCTTCACGAATCACACCTCGTAAAGGACGCGCAGCTGTTGATTTAGTTCTAGGGAGGCCCTGGGGGCAGCTCGTTACATGTCATGCTGTACGAAAACAGGCCCCGCCTTACCGACGGCGTATTAAGAATGATCTATGTGAGATTATCAATGTAGCCCATACTCGAACCATTGATCTAATCCTGGTACAGATGCGAACTCTCCCAACTCGAACGACGGAAATCTTGAGTCAACATCATAGCCTATCCCAGATAGTACTGACGAATTCGGGAACATCTCCAGGCTTGAGTCGGGAGTCATTTGGGGCGCGCGTCCAATCTCGGTTTCGGTACCGCTGGTCTGCCGTGTCCGAAGAGACATCTCCCTCTCCTTCGCCTCACTATGCCGATTCATAGCCCAGGTCCTAAACCTGGAGTATGCCTGGCTGTTCGTGCCGCCTACCTCGCTCGCAAGATGCTGTTCTCTCCTTGCCCGGACATCAAGTCGATGGATAGCCATTTCCAGGGCCACGATAGTCAGTTTCTCAGAGTTGTTGGAAAAAATTCCTATAGACCACTTCTTGAGGAGCTTAATCCCTTTATCGCAGGTGTGCTGGAGGCGTGGACTTTGTGTAGAAATGCGCTGTGCGAGAACTGCGAGTAAAGCAGCACAGCAAGACGTGAACTCGGTGTAAGATGTCCTAGCAAGGCCGATCTCGTCGTCAAGAGTTTGGCAGAGGTCGATAACAGCGATAGCACTGTAGATACAGTCATTTACAAGGTCGTCGATGGTTCCTTTTAAGACCACTGCTGTCGTGGGATCATTCTCCAAAATATCGGCTAGAGAGGAGCCTTTGAGGATGAAGGAGCGACCAATAAAGATGTGAATGAGGTGAAATGTTAGTTGAAGATGGATGTTGAATCGGAATAAAGGTTTTGTGGGCGTTAAATCCCGGCAGAAGGTTTCCGTAGGGAGGCTTTGCCAGTAGGTGCGAAGCTGCTGTTTGAGGTTCACTACTGATTGGATTATCTCTGGTTTTTGTTTCCCGGAGGCTCTCTTGAAGGACACGCTGCCACGTCGTGTGGGTATTAGACAAAGAAAGGCCTTCTCACAACGGAAGCGGTAGGAAAAGAGCACTTACATCGCATCCCTGGAATCTTCGAGGAATTCCGTCAGTTTAATCATAGCTAATATGTTTGGCATCGTGTTGTGCCGACTGCTTGTTGGCAAGTCCTTTAGTTCCTGTGGCAGCTCCGTGTCAACCTCCGAAGACGCAATGGACACAGGCCGGCCATGAAAAACGCATAATCTCCTGCCTCCCGCCCCGTGGACGGAAAAAAAAGAAATTAGCATTGTAGTTCCAATTGGTTTCACGTTTAGCCATACCTTTCTAATGTATAAGCTGTCCACCATATTCTTTTCCTCAACTCCACCTCCCGTGGCTCGAGGTGTTTATGGTACCGAAGGTGCATCCCGTTCTGTGTTGCAATCTTAATAGCAATCCCTAGATATGTGCAACTCAACCCCGCAGCATCAATCGGAAGAGTATACACGGCAAGTAGCTCAAAAGCCTGGACGCTCTCAATAGAGGCATGGGCGATTACATCTGGTATGAGCTTTGAAGCCTGGTGGTAGAACTTGAGCGCGATGGCATCATCCTCCGTGTGTGCCATTTCCCGGTCTACTGGCCCAGGGGAAAATGGGTCATCCGAAGTAGTAGAGCAAAGATGGCAGAACTGTGTTCCGATTGCAAATATCATGAGTACGGTGCATACCCAAGATGCATCATTGATGCTCAGATGGGAAGGGGAAGACGAAGAGTAAAAGTCGTTGAGCTTTCCACGAAGCAGTGGTTCATCGACATAAGAGTAATTTGTCTGTGCGAATTCGAAAAAAGCATCTAGTAGAAAGGAAGCCACATCAGGAGGGGGGAAATTGCTAACAGCACCGAGAACAACAAGGTCCTTCGAGTGGAGTTGGGTCGCGGATGGGGATTCTGCGACAACAGTGAACCGTTCTGGGTGATCCTGAATACGGGGTTAGTAAAGATATTGACACATGTTAACACGAAGCTCTCACTAACGTCTGGAAGAAAATCATTTAGCCGACTCTCAATGTTTTGTTGGAGGCGCAGAGTGAAATCGGAATGGGAGAGCTCTCCGGAGTATACTATCCTATCCTATTAGAACACGGATTCATTCAATTTCTTCAATTTTCCTACAGGTGACTTACAAGCTGGAGTCTTCGAGGTGGTAGATGGGCTGGTCTCCTTATCCTCACTGCTTATCTCCGTCCTACTCGGTGTGCGACCTTGCCCGAGAGATCTTCGTTGTAGATCCGATCCAGGAGTAAGGGAGGTTAAGAGCCGCGTGAGTTGCTTCTTGTCAAACTCCTTTGTGCCGGTAAAATGTGATACAATCCGCTCCAGAGTTCGAATCCTTTCAACGTCGAAGAAGGTATTATCATCTCCCCCAGGTTCCCGGTATCTTGGTCGGTTCGACCTGAAGCTGCCGGTGAAGCTGCAGGGACGCCCTGAGCGGGTACATCGAGAGCAAGGCTCGCCACCTTGGCATTTCTCCTTCAGCCTCCGGCAGTCGTCGCAACTGAATTCGACGTTAGTTAGGGGGAAATATGTTCGAAGAGTGAAGACTTGCGGGGCGGAGAAGGGGGAATGTCACGCTCTTGCCACCCTCTTGCGGCTCTCTTCAGGTACTTCGCGTCTCTTCCGTCTCCGACTCTCAGCAGGCAATAACCTCCCATCGGGGCTAAGAGTTTCATTGGCTCCTGCAGCGTCGTCCACAGAGGTTCTATCTGCTTGCATCGTTGCAGAACACTAGGGAGGTATGATCCAGGTACTGTGATTCCGTGAATGGATGGTGGAAGGACATGCTTTCCCCCGCATTAATAAACGGGATAGGTGCTTATCTGTGGAACGCACTATGCCTAATTTGGTCGCCATCACAAGACCTTAATCTGCCTGGCAGCAGGCATGCGACTCTCTCAAAGAATTAATTGAGAAGTCCTTCTAAAGACTGGGAACTAAAATCATTTTGTTAAATAAGCTCGTCCCAATCGATTTTTGTGGATATATTTTTGTTCCTATTGCTTGAGCCAGGCGAATTCCATGTGCTGCTAGTAGCCACTGTAGGCACTTGCCCATCATTCGCATGGTGGCCAACCGCCAGGCAGACGGCGTCGGTCTGCAGGAAGAACGATCCATCGCAGGATGACACGCCACATCCCCACACACAAGATGCAGCTTTGAGAAGAGGGACAGAAACCATTGGACGCCTTTCCGTCTTCTCCACACTTTGCAACATGCGTCATGCAAGAGTTTGGCGTGCTTTCTGATTTGAAAGATGTAGAGATGGAATTGTTTCGCTGCTTTCCAGGACCGTACGTAATAACCCACGCTGACGACGAGGAACCAGTCAGGTATCCTCCCCTTTTTTTCTTCTTCTTCTTTTCTTTTTTCTTTTCTTTTCCACGGCTTCTTCTCCACAGCTTCTCACGACTCGACCCCCCCGGAATACTCTCAAAATTCAAGGAGTCATGCGGTGAAGGAGCCGCAATGCCGACGACCGCCTCACCATTGCTGCTATTCTATTCTGTGTCGGCCATTTAACTAGCCCAAGGTCAAGCAATGGCAATTGATCCATGTTATATCACTGCTAAATGGTCTCCAGGAGATAAGGGCTGGTAATAGTATTGTTGAACGCCTGGAGGAAATTCGAGCAGTTTATAGAAAAGGATAGAGTTGAAGGCAGTTTTGAGATGAAATTTTGCTCTGTTAGCCTTGACAGATGCTTTGTGTTTAAATAACCTCTTCGCGCAAGTTCCCCAGGCGCCTCACTTCTGTATTTTAAGTTTCTTTAATTCCACACCTCTATGCCTCTATGTGAACTATCTAAATATCCCTCATTCACTCCATCGTCTTCCAAGTATCTAGAAGCCCAGCTACCTCTGGCAACCTGCTAATACATACTCTTCCCTCCTTGATTACGGCCAGAACCTCACTCTCCCGCTCAAACAAGGTGATATCCTCTAAAGGGTTCTTGTTCAATATGAGAATATCGGCCCGGAAACCAGTCTTCACTTGTCCCAAACTTTCCGCCTCTCCCATCATTCGAGCCGGGTTGACCGTCGTGCTCTTTAGAATATCCAACGGTGAAAGCACCTCGCTCCGAATGCTGAACTCCCGAAGCTGATATGTCCCGAGAGGGCCTAGCAAATCGGATCCATAACACAACGTGACACCCGCCTCCTTCGCAATCTTCAGTGCTTTCATCCCCATCTCCAGTACCCTTTTGTTCTTTGTCTGAGATTCGCCTGTTAAGAACTGTGGCAACGCGGGATCGGCTAACGTCTGATACGTTACGAGAGTCGGCGTGAGGAAACAGCCCTTCTCCGCCATTAGTTTCGCAGTAGGTTCATCCAGCAGGTTCCCGTGCTCGATTCCCTTCACGCCGTTCTCAACCGCAATCCGAATTGACTCGGGAGAGTATGCGTGGCACGTAACATATGTCCTTGAATTCGTTGCCACAAGCACCATAGCGCGAATCTCTTCTGGGCTGAACTGGTTCCCGTCCAATCGATCAGTCGGGCTTACGACGCCTCCACTGCCCATAATCTTGAGGAAATCTGCACCGCGACGAATCTCATCTCGTGCGGTAGCAAGACAGGCGGGAACCCCGTCGCAGATTCTCCCCAAACCGGACACAAATCCAGAGGCGCAGTCGCAGTGATCATGTGGCGAGCGGAAATCCCCATGGCCGCCGGTTTGACTTAACGCGTGCCCCGATAGGAAGAGCCTCGGGCCAGGAACGAGCCATTCCTCTACGGCTTGTTTCAGCGCATAAGGAGCACCGCCGCAGTCGCGTACGGTAGTGAATCCCCGTGAGAGCATAGAGCGACACACGTACGTCATGCGGAGCATGGCTTGATGCTCGGGCGTGGTCATAACCTTGCCAAAGTCGGATTCGCCTGGGGCCGCGCCGATGTGAACGTGGGCGTCGATGAGACCTGGGCAGACGTATTTGCCTGCCACGTCAATCTTTATTGCATTGTTTTCCTGGGAGAAGGGCTCGGTCGTGACGGCGATGATGACGCCTCCGGAGAGAAAGATCGTTGCGTCCGGTATAATGTCTCCCGTTAGAGGGTCAACAACATTCGCGTTCGTGAGGAGGTAGTCAGGTGGGGGGGATTTCGGGAGCCACGGCTTGATGAAGTGAGGTGACAGAGAGGCCATTGTGCATGAATTGGGGTGACGCAGATGTCTCAAATTGTGTCAAAAGATAAGTCGGGAGCAAGCGGAAAGGAAAACGAAGGAGAATAGCGTCTCTGCGGCAGCCGGTGGGTGGTAACACAATTGAGCGCCCAAAGCAGCTTAACTATGAATAAATAGGTCCACTGAGAAGTATTCAGGTGTGGTGGTGTATGGCATTTCTTTTTTTTTCTTTGCAGATACAATTTCATGCGGATGGATACTGGATTCCACGAACCGGCTCGGTGAATTCGAGGTAAGACGACATTAATGTCGTCTCATTTCCTTCAGACCCTTAATCGTTCTGAACCGGTCGCTGACCCGGTGACCCGCAATTAATAGACATGGGACCGGGCCGGTAACCCCCATGAAATCGCAATAGGTGCTCTATTGGCTAGAGATATCATGATGGATGGCCGTTCACTCTGTATCCTCCGCCCTAGTCTTCTCTCAAGAGTCGAGCAGCGTGGCTCCTCGGACAAAGGGGATGCCTCGTCAGTAACTATTTATCGGTCGACATTTATAAATCATCCCGAAATCATACGTGAAAGAAATCTTATCCTCTCCACATCTGGTGCTTCCCCCGCAAACGCATAACGCTTTCTTTAGTAAATCATTGCGTAGGGGTGAACATGACTTCGAACTTGACCAGATCTCAACGACATCCCCAGCTCTCCCAGCCTCCCGAAGTTCAATCGTAAATTTTTGCCTTCCCGGCCCCTCACCGGCTCTCTTAACATCGTAATCTACGCTCCTTCGTTGATTTTCTTTTTCTCTATTTTTGTACTTTTATTTTCTTATTATTTCTGTCGTAGATAATTGCCGGGGTTGGCTCTGAGCTTTTTGTATAGCTAGCTGCTCTCGACCCAGAAACTGACCTCCCACACCCCAACATCACACTTTTAAGTTATGGCCCATCGAGCTACGCACGACTTTGCGGCGGGATCATTTCGGTCGCTGGAACACACTCGCTCTCTTTTTATGTTTACGTTGGAAGTGTCCACCCACTTAAAACAACTCCCCAACCAACAGAGCAGAGGGTATGTATTCGCCCTATCGGGGAAATGGACCAAAGCTTAACAGACTCGCCAACGATAGCACTCCGCCCCGGGGTGGCAGTCTCGAGAATACCCTTGTCTGGAGGCGGATCGTGGCCGGTATGTATCTCGGTACTTGGCATATTTCATAACTAGTCCAGGCCCAAAGTTTGATAAAGGATGTCACTCGTATGGAAGGAATCGATAAATTGCCTTCGCAGGTGAGGGAGGCGTTTCTTTTGGCAAGCGGGGAATCTGCCGTCTTGAAGCGGTAGTCTGGGAGCTTCGTTACCATCTTTGTCGAGATACGCAGTATTGTTATCGTAGGGATCAATTATCATGATCAACTTGATATCCACGTTGTGGTTATTGCACTGCACCAGACGTCTTCCATTGGGTGTGGCCGGTCGCATTACGGCGTGCAGCGTTCCATTCACCAACCTGGAGTTGACTGATCCGGTGGTTTCTGGCCACCGGTCCGGTGTCACCAGTTAAGCCTTGGGGAGAGCACCACTTCGTAAGGGACCAAAACTCCAGCAACCCTGCTTGTCTTAGCTCCAATCCCATCGCTTGGTGACCCGAGACAAGGGTTCCAGCTAACGTTTTTCCCCAGAATTCCCTATCTTGGATTCCCCACCCCTATCTCCACGGTCACATGCCTCTCGCTCTACACCAGATATGGCATCTCTAGTGCGAAATGCTATCCAGACTTATCTACACATGTCGAACAGAGGTCTGGTCCATGCCAGTCTTCAACGGATCCGAATATCCAAGGGATCAGATATACCGGGTATGCCGGGGGTCTCAATCATACTATCCAACCTAACACTATAATATCTCGGGTCTGTCTCACTTCATACAGCGCTCAATTCTTGACTTTCCCTCCGGCTGTCTAACCTTTTCCCAAATATTTTCCTACTTCTTCCTTTTTTGTCTATACTTCCTACTAAACTCTGCGCTGCGTCTCGTCTAATATGACGGAGAAAAACGACATCGAACACGTTGGCTCTCAAGCTCACTCTGCCAATGTTGGGGAAGTCAAGCATGTTGAGCTGGGGAGTGAGGATGTCGCGGCCAAGTTCCTGGCAGAGTTGGACGCAGCTATCAAAGACGGTGATATCACTTCCGAAGAAGCCCGCAGGGTCCTATGGAAGATTGATCTTATTGTCTTACCGATCATAGCGGGTACCGTCATCCTGAGTGCCGTCGACAAGGTACGTAAACTGGATCCTTCCAGCAGTGGGCCAGTGTGCTACTCACGCAGGTGCACTAACGCGTCTTCTTCTAGGTTGTTATTTCCAACGCCGCCATAATGGGCATGAGAAGCGACCTCAAGCTAGTGGGAGATCAATATTCCTGGGCCGGCAGCATCTTTTATTTTGGGTTTCTCATCTTTGAATGGCCAACAGCCATCTTGATCCAGCGTCTCCCCGTTGCCAAGTTGCTTGCCGCTAGTATCTTGTCCTGGGCTATTTTAATGTTCTGCAGTGCTGCCACCCAAAACTTTGCCGGCCTCGCGGTAGTGCGCTTCATATTCGGGTGTGCGGAAGCCGGGGCATTCCCAATCTGTTCCATTCTAACAGTCATGTGGTATTCGAACCGAGAGCAGCCTATCCGTGTAGCCATCTGGTATAATCAGGTATGATTTGGCTTTTCTAGCATTTCCTTTTCATCGGTGATTTATTCCTCCAATTATGTGCTGACGAAAAAAGTAGTTTTCGTCCGTCTTCTCTGGTATCGTCTCGTATGGAATCTCTCAGACCCACACATCGCTCGCCCAATGGCGCCTGCTCTTCATCGTCCTGGGCGGCTTTACCGTCCTCTGGGCCGCCACTATCTTCGCTTTTCTCCCCGACTCCCCCGTCTCGGCCTGGTGGTTGTCCTCTCGAGAACGATACGTTGCTGTCCGTCGCGTTCAGAAGAACAACACTGGGATAGAAGATAAGAAGATCAAATGGTACCAAGTCACGGAACTGCTTCTAGATCCTAAGACCTATCTCCTTGCCTTGTTTGCGTGCGCGCAAAATATTCCCAACGGGGGTCTGGTCACGTTTTCTTCCATCATCGTTTCGGGGCTGGGGTACTCCGTCCCAATTACAACTCTGCTTGGGATGCCTACGGGCGTGATTGCTACGGCATGGCAAATCGTCCTGGCTGTTCCCTGCGCCAAGTTGAAGAATGTGCGTTGTATGGTGATTGCCCTGGCGAACATTGTGCCCATGGTGTGTGCCATCTTGATGTGGCAGCTGCCCAGGGATAACCAGATGGGGTTGCTAGCTGCATACTACGTTTTCTACACCTACTGGGGCGTAAGTGCTTTCCCTAAATCACCCCTAGACCTGAAGCCGGAACCCCGTGGGGTGAACGACTGATGCTAACGAAGCCGATGATACTAGCCCTATGTCATGTCCACCTCCGTCCCCATGGCTAATGTCTCGGGCCACACCAAGAAAGTCACCATGAACGCTATCTACTTCCTTTCTTACTGCACCGGAAACATTATTGGCCCCCAAGTCTTCAGACAGAACGACGCCCCAAGTTATACTAGAGGATACACTGGCCTACTTATTTGTCTCATCGTCTCTTCGGTATCTATATCTCTGTATGGTTTGCTTTGCAAGCTAGAAAATTCAAGGAAGGATAAGCTTTACGGGCCAGCAGATATGGCACTGGGAGGCGAGGTAATTGAGACCGAAGGGTTTTCGGACAAGACGGACAAAGAGAAGCCCGAATTTAGGTACATGTACTAGTCAATTTTACACCAGGCGTGGTGATGCGAAAAAAATGGGGGTGCCGAGTGGAGAGGGATGGTGGCGTGGAGAGGTGGTGAGCGAGTGCAAGCTGGGGAGGTTGACCTTTCTTTTTGTCATCTATGTATGGTAACTTTTTTTTTTTCGTCTTTAAATGGTTCGATTCTGATAAGTTCAGCGCTGGGACTCCAGATCAGATCTGCGTGAACAGCATGATGAAACTATTTGGTCAAAAAGCCAGGTACAGTCCTTTCTGTTAGTGAAATCTGTCATGCCGGTATACCCGAATAGGATTGATGTAGAAATAAACAGCGATGTCAATAGGACATGGCAGACCCTGGTGATTCTCGAGACCATGCTTGTGAAAGTATAGCCCAACGAGGTTCTCGGCTTCACAACTTTGTGAACGAGCTGCTTGCTAAAGCGGGATCCAGAATCTAAAGTCTCCATGACTGGGCGCATTTTAGTTGAATCGGCTGCAAGAACGACAATACCTGCGCCAGTGGACGCGATATAGAGGTGTTGTCTTGTGATAGCTTGACCTAACTTTGATGCGGGGGCCTAGACGGTGCCTCCGGTGTCACCTTGGGATTGAAAAGCAGATTACGTAGTGGATGGTTCGACGATCTGGCCCAGGCCCTGGACCCCACACATCTGGGGAAAGTATTGAAGCTCAACCTTGATGCTACGCAGGATATGGAGGTGAGGCGGAGGAGCTGCAAGAAGACCCACATGCACGAACTAGCGAAATTACAACCATGGACGGTAGTATACAGGAAGTTGTAGGATCAACCAGACTAATTACCATCAACATGGCGCATGATGCGAAACTCTCATCCTCCATTTTCAAGAGGCTTTCGCGTTTGATGCATGTGCTGCAGCTCCAGAGACGGGCAGACTCTGTATTTAGGCCGGAGCCACACGGCGCCATCTATTCCTGTCGGAAATCCCAAAGGTTGACGACCACCAACACGAAGCTAGGCCCGGGGTGGGTGCTAAGGGCCTTGAAGACGACCTGTATCGGAAGGTGGGACGACCAGAAGCTGGAACTCTCTGTTCAGGCACGAACTGACTTAGTTACTGCAGTATCGTCATAGGGACTAGGACAATTAGCGGGCTACGGAAAGATATGACGGATTTCAATTCTACACATCAGTGAAGTCTAAAAAGACTGTATCATGATACTTACATGGCGAGTATCCAGAATAGATGTTAAGAGCAAAGGAAAATAAAAGAGGGCTAAAAAGAAAAAATAAAAATAAAAATAAAAAAATAATAAAAAAAGGCAAAATTTCCGGTTGGGTATCTCGTTAAGGCACTCCGCTAAATTGGATTCGGGTAGGTGGTATTTGTTACGCTGTTGCGAGTTCAGGAAACTTTCGTTGGTTAAAGGGAAGCTCTTTGCGACTTGGGAAGCTTCTAGAACAGGATACCCAGCCGGGGTTGCACCTCATCCTTGTGCGCAATGTCCTGGCCCTCACCTCCGCGGTATTGGTATCGAGACCTGACCGGGAATACCAGCAGGTCGGGCCGGTAACCGGAATTGGACCGCATTAAAGTTAGATCAAGCGACCATGGCTGGCCCCACTTATATCCCGAGCCAATTCATGATGATTGATTGGGCTATAAATCACTGGACCACCGCCAAGTAGGGCAATGTTGAAAAACAAGCGACCAGGATCTTTCGTCTCTTTCCAGATCTACGATTCAACTCTCTCCCCGCCCTATTGACTCAAAGATTTTATTTTCCATCTCCTCACAGCCGTACAGTTTCAATCTTCCTCTCCACTTAGCGATCGGCGATCATGGCTCGACTTTCGGATTTTAAGGCCCTTTGCTTTGACGTCTACGGTACCCTAATTGACTGGGAAACCGGGATTCTGACCAATCTCCGACCCATCCTGGGCACCAACACCAATTTCAGCAGGGAGAAACTGCTTGACGTGATCCACGAATGCGAACGCTCGCAACAGGCTATTACCCCCGACCTCAAATATCACGAACTCCTCACAACCATCCACCCGCAAATTGCAGAGAAGCTGGGCCTACCAAAGCCTTCTTCAGAGCAGAGCAAAGCTTTCGGTGCCTCTGTAGGCAACTGGCCAGCCTTTCCAGATTCCGTAGAGGCTCTGGAACGACTCGGTCAGCACTACAAGCTTGTTGTGTTGTCAAACGTCGATCGCGAGTCTTTCTCCCGCAGCAATAGTGGACCACTGAAGGGCACTAAGTTCGACCTTGTCATTACTGCCCAGGACGTGGGCAGCTATAAGCCTAATTTGAACAATTTCGAATACATGATTCGAGAGGTTAATGAAAAGTTTGGTGTTCCGAAAGACCAAATCCTTCAGACAGCACAGAGCCAATTCCACGACCATCACCCGGCCAAGCAAGTTGGCATTCGATCGAGCTGGATAGTTAGGCCTGGCGCAGTTATGGGCAATAGGAGTGATACTGTGTATGATTGGAAATTTGATACGCTTGGTGAGATGGCTGATGCGGTTGAGGCTGAGCTGAAGGCTCAAAGTGCCTGAAGGGTTTATTTTGCCGAGGGAGAATGCTTATATGTTGGCTTCAGGAAGTGAGAACGAACCTAGGGCTAGAAAATGATAAAAGAGAAATCAATTGATGCATTGATAAGGAATGTGTTGTGCCTTTGGAAACTTATCCCTGTGCTTTGATTCAAGTTCAGTGTACGTCTGGGTTGGTAATGCTTTGAAATTTATTTGGGAAACAAGCTATCTACGGATGGCCATTTTCAAGGTCTCCGACAACTTGGAAGCTAAGAAAGTCCCTTATAAGGCCCATGTCTTCGACAACGCATGCTTGCATAAGTGATTCCTTGATCTCGGCGATCATACTATCTATTTCTGATGTCAGGCGACAGCCATCGACATAAATCGGGAGCACAGCACCACGGCACTGTCTTTTGTGTCGAAATAGACAAGACTTTCCATCGAGAGGGATAAATCCCATTTCCTTTATTCTTGAAGCAAGGTATTAGAACCACTACAGCCCTTTGTTGTTCAAATACCTGACACTGGAGTTGGTAATTTTAGGCTACGAAGGAAAGAGAGGAAATGATGTATGATGAGGTGTTAGACTCGGGAATCCCACCACATCCAGGGTAAGGTTAGGATCAAGGTAGTAAACTAGAAATGCCGACTCCCGACGGTGGTCCCGGGTTGCATTATTTTCCCCGGGAGTGGCCTGGTCGGATAGCGTATAACATCCAAAGTGCTGAAAATACCGCAGTGCTCCCCGCCCCCCAACAATTTCTTTTCCCCCAATATTTTGACATCTTTTGGTAGGACAGAGAGGTCGACCAGGCCGTCTCCATCCGGATAAGGTTAATGGCACTCCAGGGGCCATAGGCGAGTCCGGAGACGCTGTCTGCGTGTTTTGCGCATTGTGACCGGCAGTCTGGCACCGTGCTGCTGGTGCTTGGATGGGTGGGACCGGCAATCTGCATTTGGAACAGGGCCGGTCAGACACATCGGTTCACAAGGCGCGACACCCGGGGCAAACCACATTAAGAAGCCGGCTAGTATTTGATTAGATTATCGCGGGATCATTATACTAGTATTCTACCCCGTCTTTGGTGTAAGGAAAATACCATTGCTTCAAGAATGTTTACTTTGACGTCCAGGCCCCTTTACGCCGTTCATCCTTATCTTCGGAGATACTCCGTCATGGCTGTACCTATCCGCAACTACAGAATCGCCGCGATTCCAGGTGATGGCATTGGTATGGAGGTTGTTGATGCTGCTCTTAGGGTGGTGCAGGCAGCTGCAGAGGTTTCTGGGAAGTACCGGATTGAGATCACGAACTTTCCTTGGGGAACCGCATATTACAAGAAGACCGGCGCATTCCTCCCCACCGACTTCCAAAACACACTAAAGCAGTACGATGCTGTGTTATTTGGTGCCGTAGGGTACCCAGGTAAGTGGAAATATACAACACAAATATCTATTGATGGTGTTTTCTTTCTAATAATTGTGGTCCAGACGTCCCTGACCATCTATCCCTCTGGGGTCTCCTGCTAAAAATGCGCGGCCCAATGCAACTCTACGCCAATGTCCGCCCCATCAAGTGTCTTACAAAACCCCGGCTTGCCGATGTCTCACCTTCCGATCTTGACTGGCTTCTTATCCGTGAGAACAGTGAGGGAGAGTACGCCGGCCATGGAGGGCGGTCACACATGGGCGAAGGCTGGGAAGTGGCCACAGAAACAAGCATTTTTACCCGCCACGGAATCACCCGAATCATGCGTTTCGCATTTCAAGCAGCCCGGGAGAGGCCGCGGAAACATCTCACCGTCGTCACGAAGTCGAATGCTCAACGTCATGGGCTTGTCCTTTGGGATAAAATCGCCGCTGAAGTGGCCGCTGACTTTCCAGATGTCACCTGGGATAAAGAGCTTGTGGATGCTATGACAATGCGAATGGTGACGAAACCGCAGAGCATTGACACAATAGTAGGCACGAACCTCCACATTGATATTCTCTCCGATCTGGCCGCCTCGCTAGCGGGTTCGATTGGCATCGCTGCGTCGGCAAACTTGGACCCCACACGGAAGAATCCTTCTATATTCGAGCCTATGCATAGGAGTGCTTTTGATATAATGGGAAAGGGAATTGCAAACCCTATCGGGGCTGTCTGGGCGGCCGCAGATATGCTGTCGTGGATAGGGGAAAAGGATTCCGGGGCCGCGGTGATGGCAGCCGTGGAGAGGGTGTGCAAGGCTGGTAAGGTTACTAGAGACATGGGAGGGTCGCTAAACACTAAGGAAGGAGGCGAAGCAATTTGTAGGGAACTCTTGGAAAAGAAATGAGGCTAGATTAAGTACGAGAGGAATTGAAAGACAGGTTCGATTTTGTTCGTCTGCTTTTGGTGGCATTGGGTGCGAGATGCCGCGTGTATGTTTGAGTGGACGTTGCGTGATACATAACCTTGCCGCGAATTCTGGAAGACGGCTCTTGTGGAGGTGATCAAGGCGGGCCAACAGGAGAGAGAGGACTTATTAGTAGAGCCATTTATTGGCGTCAACAATGGCCCGGTGAAGAAAGATGGTGCCAGCCACGGCTCGAAGCATATCAGATGGATTGTTGGACACGTACAAGAAGTAGAGATCAATGAACTATCAAGCAATATCATACTTTGTAAGGGAACTTTTCTGTTCTCATATGAATCCAATTGTCCCGACTAAACATCTAATCCCGTCATGACCATTTTTGTTACCAAAAACTCATCGATGCCATACTTGCTGCCTTCCCGACCAAATCCGCTTTGTTTTACTCCCCCAAAGGGCGCTACAGGGTCGCTAATCGCGCCTTCATGTCACAATATTAGTGAGGCTTTTCGAAGAAAATAAAGGTGCAGGGAGAGTACTTGCCGACGTTGACGCCCACCATGCCCACCTCGAGAGCCTCCGCTATCCTCCAACACCGAGTTACATCCTTACTATAAAAATACCCTGCCAGGCCAACATTGGAATCGTTGGCCAAGGCAATAGCCTCCTGCTCTGACTCGAATGCGAAAACGGCAGCAACAGGCCCAAAGGTCTCTTCATGGCAAATTTTCATGCCCGGCCTCATATCCGCGAGCACTGTAAGTCCAAAGTAATTTGGGCCAAGGTGCGTCAGTGGCTCGCCGCCCAAGAGCAACCGTGCACCCTTAGTGACAGCATCTGTGACGTGTTCGTGGACCTTGGCAACGGCACGATCATGGACTAGCGGGCCATGCGTAGTCTCCTCCTTGAAGCCGTCACCTACTACAAAGGCGCGAACAGCCTCGACCACCTTGACGAGGAATTCATCATACACATCGCGATGGACTAGGATGCGATTGGCGCACACGCAAGTCTGACCAGAGATACGGAACTTGGAGGCCATGAGTCCGCGCACTGCCGCATCAAGATCCGCATCCTCGAACACGATGAAGGGGGCGTTTCCACCAAGCTCAAATGATAACTTTTTTAGGGTTGAGGCGCTCTGACTCATGAGAAGCTTTCCTACTCCAGTGGAGCCGGTAAATGAGACCTTTTTGATTGTCGGGTGTGTTGTGAGAATGCGCCCAACATCCGCCGTATTTTCGAGCGTTGTAATGACATTGACAACACCTGCGGGGAATCCCGCGCGATGGGCTAGCTCCGCTAGAGCCAGAGCAGTCAGCGGGGTTTCTCCCGGTGCCTTTACAACAATGGTGCACCCAGCCGCAAGGGCCGGGCCAGCCTTCCTTGTGATCATGGCGGCAGGGAAGTTCCACGGCGCGATAAGTCCGCAGACACCGACAGGCTCTCGCAGAGTAACAATGCGACAAGATGGGTTGGTGGCCTGCATGGTATCACCATAAATGCGGGGGGCTTCTTCACTGAACCATTCCAAGAATGACGCGGCGTACCGGACTTCAGTGCGAGAATCTGCCAGGGGCTTTCCGTTCTCAAGAGTGATTATGTAGGCGAGATCTTCCACATTCTCGATCATAAGTTCATACCAGCGCCGGAGGAGCGTGGCTCGCGAACGTGGGGTAGTTTTGCGAAATGAGTTGAAGGCATTCTTGGCTGAGCCAATGGCTGATTCTGTGTCGACGCTGTCAAACTCGGGGCATTTCGCAACCACATCACACGTGGAGGGGTCTAAAAAATTGGTAAGTAGAGGAAGAAGGTAAATGCTGTACACCGAAGTAAACGCACTATCAACGGAAAATTGCTTCCCGCTCCTGGCACCGACCCACCGGCCAGCAACATAGCATTCTGTCTTGAGGAGGGATGGATCCTCTAGCTATGACATAGTTAGATGAGCTACCTTGGAAAAACAAGTCAAGGAATGGAGTTGGGTTTCGCAATACAGACTTTGAGCTCCATGTCGAGTCGATACGGCCTGTCTCTAAAAATACTGCACTTCTTTCCGTTTTGTTTTTGCCTTTGTTCTTTATGGCCTTCGTTCCTTCCCTTTCCTAGACGAGAGTATGCGTTTTGAAAAAAAAAAAAAAAAAAAAAAAAAAAAAAAAAAAATAATATTCCTTTATACTAGAGGTTTCGGCTGGTGATCTTGTCGAGAATTCTTTTCTCCAGGCTCTTCCCAATCGCTGCTTGCTCAAGGAAGGCCCTCCGAGCCCGGCCCGGTGGTGGCCGGGCCGGGCTTGGAAAATTAATTTTTTTTTCCTCCTCTTTTCCTTATTCTTTAGCCTCAGCTCTTGTGGCGAGTTGATCCGGCCTTCGTCCATTGATGTGGTCTGGCTTGGTCCAAATGTCACGTGTCTACTTCGCAATTGGAAGTGGAAAACGAAGGGGACCTATTAGAGGCAGCCCTAATCAGCAGCTTTAGCATTCCGGTTCCATGTTGCCGGTTGCCGGCCTCCCACTAATTTCGGGGGTCCGGTAAGTAGCCGGTCCATGGCGGCTTCACTCCAGCATCTCGGCGTACTCGGAGGCTTTACTTGTACATGCTCCCGCCAGGTCAGTCTCACTTTAAATAACCTTCAGCTATCTTCATTATTTTATTTGCCTACACAGAGTGACACCAAAGTAAATTGATTCCAGCAAAAATTATCACGACAGCAACACGCGAAATGGCCAGAACTATCCAAACTTCTGTGGTGACCGAGGTCCCCGGGCCCCAGTCTAAGGCGGCGACAAAGAAACTCGATACCTTCTTCGACTCCCGCGCTGTACATTTCGTTGTAGACTATGAGAAGAGTTCTGGCAACTAGTATGTATCGCGTCTCTGAGTGATTCAATTTCCCCTTCTAACAGTTGGCCAAGCATCGTTGACGTGGATGGCAATAAATATCTCGATGTGTAAGTTCCTGGGACTATACCTCTGCCACCTTCCCTTGTCGTCTTATTGACTCTTATCCAAGATACTCGCAGATTGCCTCAATCCCTGTGGGTTACAATAATCCTGCTCTCGTCGCCGCCGCCCAATCGCCATTGATGGTCGCTGCCCTCGTCAACCGTCCGGCTATTGGTAATTTCCCCTCTCGCGATTGGCACGACATTCTTAAGGATGGACTCCTCCGTGTTGCACCGAAAGGCCTCGATCACATCTTTACCGCGCAGTCTGGATCTGAAGCAAATGAGCTGGCTTTCAAAGCCTCGTTTATGTTTTATAGGCGGAAGGAGCGTGGCCACGGAGTGGAGTGGACTGATGAGGAAATCAAATCTTGCCTGGACAACGCGAAACCTGGGTCCCCAGACCTAGCCGTCCTGAGTTTCGCAAACTCTTTCCACGGCCGAGGTTTTGGCAGCTTGTCGACAACTCGTTCCAAGGCGGTGCACAAACTTGATATCCCTTCATTCAAGTGGCCCCAGGCACCGTTCCCTGCCCTTAAGTACCCTCTCGACAAGCATGTTGAGGAGAATGCTGCAGAGGAGCAACGGTGCCTGGATGAGGTTGAGCGCCAGATTACCAGTTGGCATTGCCCAGTAGCGGCCCTGATTGTTGAGCCGATCCAGAGTGAGGGAGGCGACAATCATGCCTCCGCCGTATTCTTCCAAGGGTTGCGTGACCTTACTAAGAAGCATGGTGTCGTTATGATTGTAGATGAGGTGCAAACTGGTAAGTGGGCACGCCTATAGTCGCCGCCCTGGTTGACTCAAGCTCACCGAGATTCCCTGCAGGTTTTGGTGCTACCGGCAAATTCTGGGCGCATGAGCACTGGAACTTGACATCCCCTCCTGACATAGTCACCTTCTCAAAGAAGGCCCAGACTGCTGGATACTTCTTTGGTGATCGCATGCTTATTCCGGATAAGGCGTACCGCCAGTTTAACACCTGGATGGGCGACCCGGCGCGTGCGGTCTTGAGCAAGGCCGTCGTTGGCGAGATTTTGGAGAAGAACTTGGTCGAGGAATGCGTGCGTCAAACCCAGTGGCCCAGGTCTATTTTTCCCCTAAGACTAATTGAACTCGCTAAATGTAAAATAACAGGCTCGTGTTGGAGACGCTCTCTATGCTGAACTTGGAAAGCTTGCACAGAAACATCCTCAGCACATCCGCAACCTTCGAGGGAAGGGTTACGGGTAAGTCTTCGTTGTATCACTACACTATAAGTTCCATAAAAGCCCACTGTCCACTAACGCGAAGGCAGAACATACATTTCCTTCGACACGAAGGATTCTGCTGCACTTGTAAGAAGCATGAAGGAACTCGGCGTCAATGTAGGCACATGCGGTGTTCAGACTGTCCGTCTACGACCCATGCTCATTTTCGAGGAGTCTCACAGTAAGTGTCCGGTTTCTCTATTCACTAAACTTGCTACTAATAGTTTCTTTTAGTACCCATTCTCATCACTGCGTTGGACAAGGCTCTTTCTCTTAATAGGTAAGAGGATAAAGATATTAATTTAGTAGACAGTAATAGTTAGAGAGGCTGGAAGAAAGAAGAAAACAAGAAGAGCACTGTGTTGAAGTTAGAACAGTAGTAGAAGTGAATTGCAAAGTATAAGAAACACGATCTATCACTCTATACAACTCGAATTGCCTCTCAATCATCGCTGACAGCTTCCCGTCGGGCGAAATCCTAGTCCTGACTTCTCGTACGCTATGTCCGTCGCCCTCATTTGTGTGTGCAAGGCTGTCCTTGTCTATTTTCTACTTGCCGGTGCCCGGTCGACCCTTTTTGCGGTCAATGAAGGCCTCCAGTTGCCACTGGTATGGCGCCCAGTACGCTTCTCCAGGGTAGTCGAGACTGATCTCCTTCCACGTGTAACCCTTCTCCGTCTCCCTAGCCTTCCATTTCTTTACAACAGACCCATGGCTGCCGCCTCGGGTTCCACCTTTTCAGATGATGAACTAGTCTTCAAGTTTATGCTGTAATAAACGGCGGATGCTAGTGGGTTGGCGTATGTTGCCTTACGCGTTCGCGTCTTGATCTGGCCCCCTAGAAGCGATGCGCCATCGATACGAACGGGCTTGTGGATGGCTTCGAGATGAGGTAGTCCCGCCTCTGTCATTCTGTCATGCCAGATTGTAGGTTGCCATGTGTGTCGGCTGTCATGCTGTCTGAGAAACACCGGTGGGCATTAAACTTCCAATCACACTTTCCGGAAGCCTCGGCCTTTTTCTGGTCACACGAAGCGTGAAGCAATCGCCTGCACAACGACCTTTGGGTGTTGCTTTGCAGGTTAGATAAGCGATTGGCGGCTGGTGGTGCCATATACTTCCGTTCAGTCACTTCCCGACCACCAGAAGAACAAAAAGATAAAGATAAAAAAAAAAAAAAAAAAGTACTATTTCTAGTTTGAAGTAAAATTGATGAAAAGAGACTTCGGTAATGACTTACGCGAGGTTTGCAGCGCTGAGGATGCCGAACCGAGTAGGATTCGCGACTTTGGGGGGTACGCTGAAGGCCCCCATCGTCGCGAAGGTAGAGAGGTAGTTTCCAAAGGGAAGTCACGGAGGCCGAATATAGGCAAGATAGGACCTCTCTCTGGGTCCTTCATCGGTTTACGATAGAGTTTGTCAACGTTGCCTCTCCGAAAGTGTAGGCACGCAAGAAGATGTGTTGTCGAGGGAGAATGATGAAATGTGAAGGAAACAAGCCCCGTTTGAAAGGGGAGGTATGCCCACCTAGTCATGTCTGTGGAAGGAATCATTTAAACCGGCACATATCCCTTACCTATCGCCTCTCTCTCCTTTTTCTTTGTGCCTTTCTATTTTTTTTATGGTGTCGTATTTATTTGCTCCTTTTCGCCGAGATTATTGATCGGGTTTTGAATTCCGTTCGGTCACACATTCCGCAGCCCGTGAGGACAAACATTCCGTGGATTGGGCCGACCATCCGGATGGAAACGGCGTACCCGTGCCCCGCCCAAATTAGTCCACGGAGATTTCAGTTGGTATATACATCTACGCTACCTTTGTTGGTCGCTCTTGGGGTCGTTCGCCCGGTCGATTGTTCTCTTGTCTCTCGACCAGTCCGTCAAATTTCTCCTCAACCGATCTGGTCGCGTCCAACTGGACGTGACCTTTTGCTTCCGCTGGGCCACACCGCCGCCCTTCTTCCTTCAAGCCCAAGTCGTGTCCAGGTCGCGACAATTGTGAATTTATTTCTTCTACTTACAATATTATACGAAGTAGACTCCTGCTAATTGTTACCACTTCGATATCTTTATAAGGCTGCTGTAATCATTCCTAGATCATACTTCAACGCTAATTGCTTCCAACTTTTGCACACCGACACTGACAAGGACTGAAACACACATTTCCAACTTAGGTTGCATTACCCAGCTCCGACAAACCAGCTTTCCACATTTGCTACTTCTGATTTAGGCTGCCTTGGCATTGCTCTGCTTTGATTTAAACTACAAGGTGTACCTGAACTCCGGAGACTCCTCAATAACGATCTCGCCCCGATCTGCCTTTTTATTAAGCCGCCTCAGGAGGTACATCGATAAAGCCGCTAGGAAGGCATCGAAAAGAAGGAGGGCTCCAGTTGCTATGATACCAGGAGTGTAATCTGGCGCATTCTTTTAACCATGTTAGGCCTTGCACTATTCCATTTGATCTTTTGGATACATGTTTGGGGGGGTATGTTGGTTACTCATGACTCACCTCTTGTCGGAAGACCTGCGAGGAGTAGATGCCTCCAATAGCAGCGCATACAACCTGGGTCACCGTGAGGACGCTCCTCTTGGCGTCGAGGCGGACGTTGTTCTGACCCCAAGCCAGAGCCGAGGAGATTAGAGCTGTGGCGCCCCCCATACCCAAGAAGGTGCCGACGTACCGGCCAGCAGGTGCGTCTAAGAAGCCGGTCAAGGCGAGACCGGCTACCGCAATAAGGCAGTTTGCGATGGCGAAGCTACCCCGCTGGTGGACCTTGTCGGCTACCCACGATAGTGCCAAGGAGTATAAGATTGAAAAGGCTGCCGGGGGTGCGCTGAGGCAGAATGCCATGACTAGGGAGAAGCCGAAGCTGTTTCGGAGGATGACTGGTAAGAAAAAGAGGAAGCTGTACAAGCTGCACGACCCGCCGATATATAGGAAGCCACTGTGTTCAATTACCTTTAAGTCAGTCACCGTCCTCGAAATGATACCCTGTCTTGTTCCAGAAATGGGTGGAAAAAAGGGAGGGAGTAAAAGAAAAGGAATACGGACGGACTTACACAGTCCACGTATGCCATGTAAAAAAAACATCCTTCACGACCTTCCAAGTAACCTTTCCAGACTCGGAATCACCGCGCTCTGCAACAAGTCTGGATTTCAGTGCCTCTTTTTCGTCCGTGGTAAGGAATTTGTTGCCCTTCGACTCAGGAAAATCGGGCAGGAAGAGGAAGCTGGCGATGGCGATGGCGGCGGTGATGGCGCCTTGGACGATAAAAATCCAGCGCCATCCGGTGCGCTCTGGTTCACCAGCGATCTGGGTAAGGCCGTATGAGAGGATGTTCGCAAATGAGGACAGGAATGTCGAGGCTGAAAAGAAGATGGCGATGCTACGATTACGATGTTTTAGTTTCCTGGGTCTTTCATAGTTTTTAGGAGAAATCTTTACCGTTTCTGGACTTCGTATCGGGGATACCAAGCAGCAATGAGATACAAGCATCCTGGGAATAAACCCTGGCCCCATATTAGCCTTTTCGCCCTGGCGAGATTCCTCAGCAAAAGGAGAAAAAAACACTCACAGCTTCAAAGCATCCCAACAAGATACGGAGAGCAAGCAACGTCGCGTAGTTCTTCGCGAAGCCAATGGACAGAGTTATCACCCCGAAGAGTAAAGCTAAGATACTCAACCATAGCGGAGCACCAAGCTTCTTGAGCACAATGTTACTGGGCAGTTCGAAGAAAACGTAGCCGACGTAAAAGACGCTTACTTCAAGCAGCCATTAGCTCGAGTACTAGAGATGGCCGTGAAATTTCCTTCCTAAGCCCTTTTCTACTACTCACAGACAACAGAATATCGATCGCCTAGGTTCAGGCCGAGAGCACCGTCAATGCCCGAAATTCTGGCGCCGGCCAAGTTGGTGCGGTCAATCAGAGAAAGAGCATACAACAGAACCACCAGCGGGAGCAGGCGCCGATCGATCTTGCGTCTGGGCATAATGTAAGCGATTTATCTTCTCTGGTTTTTGGAATCGGGGGGATGGTAGTGTTGGTTGGGCTTTGGTGACATACGAAATGCGGCGGTGAACAGCCAGCAGGGAAGGATACGGCTCTTGAGCTAACGATGTGGCGTCTTTAGCAAAAATAGAGCCATGCCCCTCGACAAACTCGATCTGCTGATCTTTATTATCCTCCATCGTGGTTTGTGTTCGTTGAAAGTAAATTCCAAGGAGAATGATTCAAAGACTTTGGGAATGTGGAGCAAGGCTTGGTTTGCTTCTCTCTTACACTGAACCTACACAATATCTTCTCCAACGTCTGGCGACGTTGAAGATTTAACTATATATAGGACTGTGCGAGCGCCCCACCACGGTGATTGTTGCTCCCCTTGGAGACGGACTAGCCAATTAGAACGATGCCAATCCTTCAGAATCCGGGTAATGATGGGGTGGTCTCGGGGTAGTGTAAGATTAGCGCCATTCGTGATGCTGGGAATCCTGGGGTGCATGAGATTTTGGGGATCGTGCCCTTCCCCGCACTCTTTCGGTAATTCCTGCCTGTGCTATTAGTTGATCCAATGTGACGGGTCCGGAAGTTGGTCTAATAAGTGGGCCGCTCTTAGTTGAATATGCTACATGAGAGCCAAAACGGCACATTCCCTGTCCAAGTTTGCTTTGCTCTCTTCTTAGCAGGGGTTTCACTTGGGTCATCGAGTGTTCCTTCGTTGCTCCATTGATCCGATGGCTGGTGTTGTAACTTGTAACCTATTTGCGATCCACTCTTGTCGTGCCTGGTTCGGCCATCCCCTCCCCTTTAACGGACTGGGACGAGGAAAAGCGATACAGGGAGCAGGAGGCTCAAACATGCGCTGCGAGATTCAAGGCGCCGGGATTACTCTTCAGAATGATCTTTTTTTTTTTTTTTTTTTTTAATTATTATTATTATTATTATTAAGCGCCGTACTCCTGTGCTTGTTACAAGACCGGCATTCTCCCTTGAAAAGCTGGATCGTCAGAGATGGGTGGTGCAAATGAAGAAAATGTGCCAGGAATTATTAGATGGACGTAATTTCTACTGATACACCACTTGAGATTTTGATCAGATTTTTTATGAAAGAACTGGATGGCTCCTTTTTAAAGTCAGCCACAACGGGCACAGCTGTCCTCCGGGACATGGACGGTGAGCGATGTGAAGACTGCGGGATGCCAAGGAGACTGATATTGAGAAACAACCCTACATTCCTCGTCGGTTCGTAATGAATGGGGGCCAAAGTAGGTATAGGCGAACTAAGGGGACATAGATTTACCTGTAGTATGGAGTGGAGGCGGCCCGGCAATTTTCACCACGTAGCAAGATAGTATTACCGTTGTGGGGGCGCCAAGATGGAAGATGGCAAAGTCCTAGGGTGGGTATATAATACTAATATGGGGATGGGTGGGAATTGGGTACTCTGACTACCTTATATGCCTGACGAACTATTCATAACTTCTAATTCTGAATGAAATAAACGGAAAAGAAAGGAAAGAAAACTTCCACAGCCTTCTCAACCGACGATTAATACACAATGGACGTTTCAGGGAAAGTCAACCTTGGCCGCATCTCGTATGTTATTTACGAGCACCCAGATGTCTCTAAATTCCTCGAGTTCTCCAAGGACTTCGGCTTCGAGCCCGCGGGAAGGTCCGACGATGACGCAACCCTCTTCTTCCAAGGTTACGGGCCCGACCCTTTCGTCTATGTTGCTCGGCAAGCACCAGAAGGACACGGCAAGAGGTTCTGTGGTGCCGGGTTCACGGCACGAACGGAAGAGGATTTCGAGCGGGCGTGCAAGTTAGAGGGCGCGCAACTCCGGGATATGCCGCAACGGCCCGGTGGCGGAAAGGTGGTTAGCATACCAGACGTGAACGGGTACGAAGTTCAAGTCGTGTACGGTCAGACGGACAGGGTGGTGCCAAAAAAGGGGCTGTCAAATGTCTTCGATGGCCGGCCGAATGTGAACGGTGCTATCACAAAGGTCCGAAAGGGTAAGTACGAACTTCTAATCTCTCTAAATTTCACGTTTTGGAAAAATCCAGTCCTTAATACAAACCGAAATTGACCTTACCTTTTAAAAGGTATTTTCAACCGCATGGGAAGTGGCCCGGCCAAGATCCACAAACTCGGCCACTTTGGTTACATGACCGATAACTATACTGAGACGTGTGCCTGGTACGCTCGTAATTTCAACCTCAAGCCAACCGACATTGTACACAAGCGCGATGAGCCCTCCACGGAGCTCATGTCCTTTTTCCATCTTGACCTCGGCCAGGAGTACTCGGACCACCACTGCCTGTTGGTGGCGGCGCAGCAGGGCTCTGGAAAGGGGACAACCGTTCACCACTCATCGTTCGAGGTGGAAGACATCGATACGCAGATGATGGGACACCAATGGCTTAAGGAGAAAGGCTATAGGGCAATGTGGGGCGTGGGTAGGCACATCATGGGGTCGCAGGTCTTTGACTATTGGTACGATCCGACGGGGTTTGTGATCGAGCACTACGCAGATGGTGATCTGGTCAATGAAGACACGCCAACGGTGAGGTCTACTGGAACCGCGGCTGCTATCTGGGGCCCTCCGCTCCCTACTACATGGCACTGAAGTTGTATCAGGAAGACACACTATCGCAGATCGATTTTGTATATAAGAATAAGTGACTAGAAGATTCCATAGGACAAATGGGATGGCAGTACAATATAGTGCCAGACAGCGTTATTGTATACTGGGTGGTGACCATCTATGTGGAGGTATGAGTGATATTGCGAGTCATAATAAGACGACTATCTTGTCGGTACGCAGCTCGCGGCCAATTGAGCAGATCCAGACCATAGTTGTTTAATCGACCTCGTCTTCTGCGTGTCGCTGTGCGCCCCCCGTCCTCCGTATACCTCCCGTCATTTTATCCGCACATACAATAATGGGGCCAACTGCCTGGGGAGAGTTGAGTTAGAGGTGCAACTCCACCAACAGTGCCGCTAAGTGTGTGATTGCCAATACTAGATGCCACACACATTTCATCCTTAACTAGAAGAGAGAGAATCATTCATTTATTTATGTTAAAGAACGCATCAGACGATAGTGCCCCCGTGCACTTAGTGGAAACAGTGACTGGTATCTGGTTATCTCCTGTTTCTCGCGTGCCCTGTTCGGAGAAGCCAAGTTGCTAAGTATTTGGCTGCAATAACAGCTTTGGACAGTTTTCAACTAATTTACCAAGCCAAGACGGGCTTTATGACCTAGTCAAAGTGTCAGTTGGTAACATCAAATTCGAGTGGAAGTGGGTAAACTGAGCTGTAGTACCTTGCCAGATTTCATATCCTCAACCGCTTCTTCAAGCTTACTTACGGGGTATGTCTTGCATAAGCCGTCAACTGGGAAGGATCCGGATCGAAAGAGTTCTATAAGATGAGGAATAAACTGGAGAAAAATAAGTGAATGTCCGATGGCGATGCGACAACAGTAAAGGATCTCACCTTCTGGGGGTCACAATACCCTCCGGTGACCCCAATTACTGTCTTGCAACCAGTCAACATATCCAGAGCTTCGATTCTTAGCTGTTCCTGAGGACGAGGAGTTCCGACAATAGCAAGAGTTCCTCCGTGGCCCAAGGCTCTTACTCCTTGGTCGATCATGCTGGCCAACCCGGTGGTGTCTACAATGTAGTCTGCTCCATCGGGGAGCACTTCGCGTATGGCAGCTTCAACTGATTCGTGCTCTCTACCGTCGATGGTTTTGGTCGCTCCCAGCGAAGCTGCAGTTTGCAGTCTAGACTCGACGATGTCAATTGCGAGGATCTCCTGGACCCTCTCGGCCTTGGCTGCCATTAGGACTGACAACCCCACAGCGCCGAGGCCGAAAATAGCTAAACTGCTAGCAGGCTTGGGTTTGAGAACGTTCAGGACGGTCGCGGCTCCGGTCATGAAGCCACAGCCGAGGGGAGCCAGGAAAGCCAATTCTTCCACCGAGCCAGAGTACTTAATAACCGACCTAGCGTCAACAATGGCCAGTTTGCTAAAGGAGGATTGGCCGAAGAATGTGCCGCGGACGCGACCTCCGTTGGGTAGATTCACAGCGGAGTTTTCCCCTTCGCTTCCTCGGGTGCCGACGAAGTTGACCGTTGCAATGCTGCTGCAGGCACCCTTGCGGCCTTCTTTGCAAGCGGAGCAGTTCAGGCAAGAGCTGTAGCTGAGAAGGACTCGGTCACCAACGCCTATGTCTAATCCCTCCAGCCCTTTGCCCAGCCTGCGGACCACTCCAGCACCTTCATGTCCTAAGACGGCGGGGTACGATCCCAGCGGCATATGTCCCGCCTGTACAACGAGGTCCTAACAAGTCGCGTGAGCCTTTGGTTAAGCAAGGTCTTGTCTTTGCTTCAGCTGCTTTTCTCTTACCGTGTGACATATGCCGGAGTATTTGATCTCAACGAGAAGCTCGTTCGGTCGAACCTCGTCCAGAACAACATCTTGTAATACAAACGGAGCTCCGGGTTTCTCCACTACGAGAGCCTTTGTTGGGATGTTCCTCGCTGGAAGAGAGTCCATAATGTAATTCGAGCGTTGAAATTCAATAGAAAAGAATCTTCAGCGGCTGTGTAGATTTCGTTCCGTGTAGTCTCTAGCCTGAAACCTTCACGCGGCAATCTCGAACCTCCGGTTAGCCAGCATGGAGACTTCTTAACTACAGTAATTTTCGGCGGAAAGTTGTAGTTGCCCGTATCGGTGGTAGTGGGTTGGGTTCGGCACGCTCCAAGTTCGAGGCTCCGTCTCTAAAATGCCGGCGGGGGGGCCCAGTGGAGTAACAACATTTATTTTGACGGTATTATCCCCACCGCCGTAGGAGAGGGAGTCCTCCCAGTCCCTCCAGAAACCCATGCGGATAGATGCGGATGTAGTGGGGAATGAGTTTGTGAGCGTGCGGACCCCGGAGGTTTCGCATGTATGAATGCAATATGTCGGAACTTTCATGTTCCTCCGGCGCTCTTCACCGTTCGCGCTTCCTGAAACGACTTTACCTGTCGTGATTGTGTCGATGAGAAAAGCTTGTTCAGATTCAACGTTCTCTAGCGAATTAAAATCGTGCAGCATATATGGGGAGGTTTAACAGGTCGCTTTACCCGTTTCTCGTAGTGTTCCTTTCCATGACGGGCCTGCTGACACGGCTCCTCTGTCGTGACTGAGCTAAAGGGCCGACATAATTACTTGGAAATGGCCCGTACTATCACAATGAATCGGTACGAGCTCCCGTCCTCCACCCCGGCAATTTCATTCTGCCATTTTGTGGCGCTGTATTTTGCAAGCTCGACAGCGCTCGATATTTGAATGCTGTTTTCCGCGCTTCCAAATAGTCCCAAAGAAAGTAATCCTGAGCTTTCCCTGTCCTTTCCAAGTCACTGCGTGAACGAACGAAAACACTTCCCATCAACGCAAACCTCCCGACTTTGATTTCCGAACCTACCAGTACGTTGACAATACTCGCATCCCATGGCGACTAGCACAATATTTTTCGACAGATTTTACAATGTGAGTTGCGGGCAAAAGTCATGTGAACCAAGAGACTTTGGATCTAAAAAAAAGGCCGGACAGATTGTCGACAATGCGCCGCGGGTAGGTGACACGACCTATCATGGGATCGATCCAAGCACTGGAACGCCGCTCTGGGACGTTCCAGTAGCCAGGGAGAACGATGTTGATGACGCCGTGGCTGCAGCCAATGGGGCCTTTAAAAAGTGGTCAAGTCTGCCCCAGCAAGAGAGATCCAGGCTTATGAAGGATCTCGCCGCTTGCCTGGAGAAGCACAAGGACGCGCTCACCGACGTGCTCCACAAAGAGAGCGGCAAACCGGTAAAATTAGCCCATTCTGCCCGTATTACCGTCTTAATTTTTTTTTCTTTCCTTTTTCGTTCGCCTCCTCTGACCGCTTATGTGACAGAGGCCGTTCGCGGAGTCGGAAATCATGATGGGTATCAACACCATGAGACGCCATGGTGAGTATTTTTCTTCTTCTTCTTGCGCATACATTTAATATGGGACATTGTTTTGACCTCTGACTTCCTGTCGCAGCTGAGTGGTCGGTCCCGGATCAGCTACTGAAGGATACCGAGGATGTAAAGATTGTCGTCCAGCACGTCCCTATTGGAGTTGTGGCAGGCATTACCCCTTGGAATTATCCTTTCCAGCTAGCCATTCTCAAGATTGCCCCGGCGCTGGCGACGGGCTGCACAATCATCCTCAAGCCCTCGTACGTTGCGTCGCCTAAACACACAAGAATTTGTGTGATTGCATGTATTATTTATACTGACGTAAATCCTTGCAGCCCATTCACACCATACACGGCTCTTAAGATAGGCGAAATGGCAGCTGGGATCCTCCCACCCGGCGTAGTACAGGTCCTCGGGGGAGACGACAATCTTGGCCCTTGGATAACGAGCCACCCCGGCATCGCCAAGATCTCATTCACTGGCTCCACTGCCACTGGAAAGAAGATCATGGCAGCGGCAGCTGAGACATTGAAAAGAGTCAATTTGGAATTGTAGGTACATTCCCAAAAGGGAATACAAAATCGACTGAATTTCTACAGAGGCTAACGTAGCATCTACCAAATTAGAGGCGGCAACGATGCAGCAGTAGTGACGGAGGACGTCGATGTTCTGGAGGCGGCGCAACTGGTAGCCACAGCGACTTTTGCTCATTCGGGTCAGATCTGCATGGCCACAAAACGCATTTACGTCCACGAGTCTATATATGATGAGTTCTTGGCTCACCTCGTGTCAGTTGTGAAGAGCTACAGGCTGGCTGAGGGTTTCTGCAGCCCCATTCAGAATAAGATGCAGTACGAGAAGGTCAAGTCGATCTACAACGATTGTGAAGAGCAGGGATACACCTTCGCCCTTGGCGGTGGCAAGACATTCTCTCATGAGGACCGGCCAGGGTATTTCATATCTCCGGCCATCGTGACCAACCCGCCGGAGAAGTCGCGTATTGTACAGGAAGAGCCATTCGGGCCTATTGTCCCCGTACTAACGTGGCGCGAGGACGAGGATGTCGTCAAGCGCGTCAACGATACTCACACGGGCCTTGGGGCCACGGTCTACTGCCGAGACGAGAAACGTGCGTGGAAGATTTCCGGGAGCATCGAGGCAGGGAGCGTATGGGTGAACGGGGGACTGAAGTTGGATCCTGTGGCGCTGTTTGGCGCCCACAAGCAGAGTGGGATTGGGGGGGAGTTGGGACCTCTCGGACTCAAATACTACATGAACACACGAACGGTTACATATTGGAAGACCTCATCGAAAGGACCGCAGGCCAATAGCGACAACACCAGCAAGGGAGGCTTATTCACATGAGTAGAGATGGCTGAAGTAAAACTGCGACTTCGTACAATGTTGCTCTGTGGAAATGCAGTTTCTAGCTTGTCATCAGGTGGACGAATATTCAGACATTAGCCACGAGAATCTTAGAATGCAAAGAAGAAGAGATAAGATAAAAGCATTGATTAACTTTACAATACAAGACAGACATATAATGAACCTCTTATTGAAAGAGATGGCAGACTGTTGGTTGGAACTCTAACAGAGAATGGACGAAAAAGTTTTATTTTCCTTTTTTTCCTTTGTTCTTTTCTTTCTTTTTTTTTCTTCTTTTTCTTTCCCCAGTAGATTCAATTCCGAGGCTTTTATAGACATAATATTTCCTATTTTCTAACTGGACATAAGCTTTTGCAAAGTCGTTGCCATCTTCCTACAGCACGGCCAAGGCATCGCCTCGAGCTCCAGCTTGAACGCCAGCAATACCCTTATACTCCCGTGCCTATCCCTATCCCTGTCGTGGCCTCTCGGGCTGAGGCTGATCTTCGCCCAGATCACTAGAGCGGCGTGGAAAACGACGATCGGCATCCAGGCGGCACACAGGGCTTGGTCGGATTTTGGACATTTCGCCGCGACATCAAGCAAGGCCCAGGAGCGATCAAGAGCTCGATCTGATATACTGATCTCATTTTGCGCAAGTGCGTGTGCGACATGAGTTTGACTTGGACTCGAATGGGAAAAATCATATTGAGCCAGCTGTGAGAGGCTCGAAAGCGCTGGGCAAGAAAGATATAGCTCACAATAATGGAAGAGTGTGAGTACTTCAGACCCCACGCTGGCCCTGAAATTGTCTTGCCACCGCTCCAGCGCCTTTGACAGCCGGCTTTGCATGCGCTCGAGCTCATCGTGAGCAGAAAAAGGAACAAATGGGTCGTGGCTATATGCGGTCGAATGAGTCGAGCTCACGATGTTAGCGGCGCTGCCGAGAGATCGGCGTATGGTTATGCAGTCAGACAGGACGGCAAGAAGTAAGATTACTGCTGACTCCCCGGAATCGCTAATTGTGGCGGAAAGGAGAGATGGGCTGTCCGTGCTGGATTCCCGCAGGAGATGTCGATAAACATCCGGAAACGAAAGCGTTGATGAAGGCATTGTCGTCAGGACTTCATCGGATGAAAAGCTAAGCGAATGGTTTGAATGAACAGCGTGAAGAACGTCCCATAGCCAAAGCGACCAAAGCATCGAGCTTGTGTATCGAAGAAGTAACTGTGAGCGTTGCAGACCTACGGAAACAACTCGGACAGCACTCCACGTAAACGTACCTATACGAAGACACCCGCTGGCGAAGGCTAGACTCTAGCTGGCACGGTTGATGCAGCCACATGCGGCGGGCCACCTGAAAAGCAAAGCAGTGAGTTATCTCATCCAGCATATGCCTCGAACTTGGTTATTTACAGTTAATGAGGAAGAGAGGATAAGCGTCGCTCTTCTCTGAAGACATTCAGTGCCGGCTAGCACACCGTAGGGTATGAGCAGAACAGCCTTTGAAAAAATTAACACACATGAGTAATGTACAAGGTAATGTACAAGATGAGAAATTCGGAACGAAGCGACGTACCGCTAAAAGCATTTCAACCGAGCGAGCCAGTCCATTATCCACTTCCACCATGACTGGCCATATTCTTGAGCCGGCGGAAAAGAGGTTCTGAGCTTCTTCAAGGTCACCGCGACTGCAAACCGATGCCAGACAAGCAATACCAAAGCGCAAGGGAGGTAGAACGGGCTCGCGAGTCAGGAGAGGTAGAGGATAATGGGCAAAGAAGACATGATTCAAACATCTGTGAGAGAAGGTTCGGGATAAATGGGCCATTCGGTCATCGGAAGGTAAGCTTGGGAAGCGAGATAAAAGAGCCAGGGGGTACGTGTACTTTTTCGCGACAGGTTCCTGTAGGTATTTATTAGATCTTAGTCTTTAGATCAGGTGTTCTAGGGGGGATTTTTTGGACGTCAAGTATTTACTCTAGTTTTAAAGTCCATGTGAAATAGCTTTTCAGTTCCCACAGCGTCGCTACTAGAGATTAGGGCTCGTTTGAAATCAGAAAGAAGTGCCGGCTCAGGACGCTCGCTAGCCGAGGCGACATCTTGTTGAGAAGGTTCGCGCTCTCCTGGCCAGCTAGAGCTCGGTGAGGCGGTCGTCATGCTTGGAGAGGATTGCCGGTTTGGGGAGCTTCGAGTTGAGGCTGATATGCACAGGTGGCCGTTGCTCTTGCCTGAACACATTTGACACTGGAATCCGAACTGATCTCTCAGTTCAGGCTTCGTAAGCAGCAGCGGCTAGACTTGGAATAGTTCATGATGACTTGGAACATGTGCAATCTGCTTCCTTCTTGCCCCAAACGAAAGTAGTTTGCTGACTCATAATACCCGAGATGGGGGTGGGGCCCAAATGGCGGGGAAAACTGCGGCACACCAGACTAAGACGGCACCACAAGGAGCCTGGGGAAGTTCCACGGAAGTTTCTTGTCTTTTAACTTCCCAATTACAGTCTTCCCCAGATTAACCCCAGGTTTTCCCCAGATTTTTTATTAGGAAAATTTCCGAGTCCCACACGGGACAGAACCGGCATACAATACGATCTGCAGAATCTCCATATGCATCTGCGGGGCTAATCTGAATCGAAGCCCCTGGACCTCTGCTGGTTATGGCACGATGCGACATTTGCGGGCGCTCTTTTGCTCGAAACGAACATCTTATTCGCCATCTCAGAACCCGTGAGTCGAGTGTATGGCTGGCTGTCTGTCTTGGAGTGGCTCACTGAGGTTGACGGCCCATGAAACAGATACCGGAGAGCGACCGTTTCACTGCCCCCACTGCAAGGCTGGATTCCATCGCGCAGATGTCAGGGCAAAGCATATGAAGAAACTTCATACGCCAAGCGGATCGGTTTCGGTGTCGGAATCTTCTGAATCCTTCCCACAGCAGCATCCCCATGAAGGACTTCGTCCGCGAGAAAGAGAACGCTCGAGGCTAGCGTGTGACCAGTGTCGGAAACGAAAATTAAAGTGCAGTAACGTCCGACCATGCGAAGCATGCCTCTCAAAGCAGTTGCCCTGCACGGTCTCGAGCACTTCGAGGCCACCTGGAAGGCCCCGCAACAGAGTTCCAGTATCTCCGGGTGGCCAACCCATCCGCGAGAATGGGGGCAGCGTGACTGACTCGGGCATCCCGCCGGTTCCGCAGCCTTGGACACCAAACAGCAGCGGCCTTGAGCCACCGTTGGACGGGCCTAGCCTAATGACCAGTATCGCCGGAATCGACATACCGGCCGTAAGAGACGCCGCCGCCGCAGAATATCCAGCAGCTACGGGGCTCACTCCTCCCCCAGTCATGGATGAATGGATGACGTCCGAGTCAGCGAGTGACTTCTCGATTCAAGGCCCATTTCCGGGTGCAGCTAACATATCAGCGGATCAAATCTGCGGGGATGTAAGTTGGATGGATGATTTGCTTCCCCAACTCGTGAGTGATTGGATTTGCCCCCATCGCCGCCACCACCACTTCTGACATTTTGGGGGCTAGGATCTCGGGAACTGGTTGGATGACCTTAATGAATTTTCTGTAACGGATGACACGTGGCCGGCAGACTCTTCAGCATTCCATGTTGAGTCAGATCCTTCTATGGACAGCGCTGTGGAGATGATGGCGGAGCACCTTCAACGACGATCACACACACAATCCCCCCAATCTCGAGAAGAACAGAAAAGGTCATGGTATTCGGCCCCACCGCAGCTCTACGTATACGACGAAGATGTGGTCAACATCCTCCTCAATCTCTCTAGAGCGCACATCTCGAGCACATTCGCTCTATTTTCCGATTTCGAAGCGAACCGCGACACCCGCGTAGAGCTTTGCCTTGCCATGGCCGCCGTGGGTGGACTTTATTGCACGGCTCCAGCGGGCATAAAAGTCGCGAAAATGCTATTCAACGACTCCAGGCGTCTCCTCCTCGAGCAATATTTGCAGGACGATTCCATGCCGTTTGACCCAGCGTTGAGCTTTGCGAAAACATTTATTCTGCTCGAGATATACGGCCTGTGCAGCGGCGACAAAAGAGCCTACGAGTTCAATGAAGTGTTCCACGGAAGCAAGCTGCACGCGGTTAGCTCCTGTCTAAGTGCTTTGCCGCGCGATGCTCCCTTGGATCAGCGTCGACAAGCTCAACTTCTTTCGGAGGCGATGCGCGTGCTCGACAGCTACAGGGTGCTACTGCTGCGGCGACCTCCATCCTTCATGGGAGAAACTGCACTCGATCCGCACACCCTTAGCAATATGTCCCGGTTTCAGAGCCTCCCTACCGGCGGGTTGATCGCTACATCGAGCCGCGGCGGTCCTCTTGATCACCATCCCCCAACTGCTACGGGAATGGATCATCTCGTAATGGTCATATGTTACAGCTGGATGGCAAGTCCGCAGAACACTGAGAACTCCACATATACTCCTCTGTGGAGACTAGAATTCGTCGAGCTTGCCCTCGACCGGTGGATCCGAACACAGACTACCAGAACTGAAACTCCTCAACGTCCCCTCGAAGTATCGCAAATGCTGCTATATCACCTCACGAAAGTGTCCCTTCATTCCAATCTAAGTCATCTACAGCGTCTTACCCCAGCAGCTTTGCAAGCTATGGTATCCAGAAAAGATGGCGACGATATCCTGGACTCTGTCCGGGCGTGGAGGAACAGTCGCCACTTCACCATTGCTCACTGGCACGCAAAAGCCATCCTTGGCATTCGCATGGCGCAAGAAGCGGTGGCGCCATCCTGTCGCCGTGTATCGTCTGAAAAGGGCGGGACGCGGTTTGCTGAAGCTCCGCATTTACCGTTATGTATATATTTCGCGACATTAATCATATGGTGCGAAGAGGTGACGTCGAGTGATGGCCGACGAGGGCTGGGCTCAGTCCATGCTCCTTCAGCATTAGAGGCTGGTTCGCAGCTTTTATTCAGACTGAAAGTCCCTGTATCTAAACTCTTGGGAAATATCCTCTGTGAGCTTCGCTCCAGCGAAAGTTGACATTACTATAAACGGAGATGTGTTTGTTTTATTCTGACAGGAACTCGGCTGGGGGGAATATGCGCGGGATAGGTCTGCCAAGGACAAAGCTAGCCAGCACAGGCATGATGTGTGTCTCTAAACTGTGATGGTATTTTATAGTACGGATAGTCTAGAGGTAGACCATCAATCTCTCGAAACACTATAAGAAGGTGATTGCTTTCTTTTTAGTTACCGTCCAAACAGAAAATATTTTCAAGTTTCAACAATGTCTCCGAACTTTTGATGACAGTCGAGACCGGTGATTTATTGCACCCCACCCGGCTTCAGGAGACGGAGAAGAGAAGACATTGATCGGCGCCCGTAATTAAAAGATAAATTGCCGGGCGGAGGCAGCGGAGTAGGAGTAACCACCGCTACTGGGGCACTCACCCAAGCCAAGGGACCTAGAACGGGAATTGGCGATTACCACTGATGCCTGTCGGCATAGTTAATACGTATTTTCATTCCGTTTCCAAGTAAAAACAATGTTAGACCATATTCTCTCCCAACTCCCCTGCTTGCCTATTTAAGCACACCTGTCCGTTATCCAGATCCAGATCCAGGGCCAAGCATCCAGGCTTTCTCTCCAATCGTCTCGGAAGACAAAAGGCTCAACTTCAATTACCCGCCCGCCCATATGAAGATGTCGAAAGCGTATCGAGATATCCGCAGAGTAGACGAAAAGTCTTTCGACTATGTTTTCGAAGAGAATGTCTCCGTGGTATTGAAGGATGGCAAGGGGATTGTGAGGTGCAACGTCTACCGCCCAAAAAGCCAATCAGAAAAATATCCCGTTTTGGTAACCTACGGGCCCTATGGCAAAGACGTTCATTACAGCGTGTAAGTACTACCGGAATATCTTTGTGCGGCCCTCTCTCCACCGCCCTTTTTTCTTCTCAACTCCGCTGCTCATTGTCTCTTTTCTTTCATGTCCTTAGGTTTCACGCGTCCTCATTTGCCGAAGTTCCTGAGGAGCATCACTCGGCCCACTCTTCCTGGGAGACCCCTGACCCTGGGTTCTGGACCAGGAACGGCTATGCGGTGGTTAGAGCAGACGAACGTGGTACTGGCCAATCTCCTGGGTTGCTTGACACTATGTCTCGCGGCACGAGCGAGGCATTCTTTGACGTTATTGAGTGGGCAGCATCACAGCCGTGGTCATCCGGCAAAGTTGGTCTGCTCGGCGTGAGTTATTACGCCGGAAGTCAGTGGAGAGTGGCAGCCCGCCAGCCAAAGGGCCTCGCCTGTATTGTGCCGTGGGAAGGGATGTCGGACTACTATCGCGACCGCTGCCGACACGGCGGCATCCTTTCCAACACCTTCATCAGCTTTTGGTGGAACAGACAGGTTAGTGAGCATACACATGTGTCAAAGATAGATCCCTTTATTTTTAGTCCTAATCAAGCTTTTAGGTGGTCACCAACCAGTACGGACGGCCTGGCAGAGCGGCCCGCAAATGGGGCTATGATACAGTAGAGGGAGATTTGTCTGAGGAGGAGCTCCTCGCCAACCGCCGCGATCAAAATGAGGATAATGCAGCTCACCGCTTCCTCGATGAGGAGTACTATGCTTCGAAGGATTACGACATGGCTGATATTAAAGTGCCGGTCCTTTCGGTGGGAAACTGGGGGGGGATCCTACTGCACCTAAGGGGAAACGTAGAAGGCTATCTACACGCAGGCTCCAAGTATAAGTATCTCAGACTCATCACTGGGCGCCACGACTTGCCCTTCTACTCCAAGGAGAACGTCGAAATGCAAAAGAGCTTTCTAGACGCTTTCCTCAAGGGACATGATGCGGAGGGATGGTCGACCGGAAAAGCCCCCAAAGTCGGCCTGGTTCTGCGGAAAGGCAATGTCGGATACAATGATGCAGAAGCTGAAAAGCAGTATCCTCACCGCTACGAGGAAGAATGGCCAATCCCTCGCACCAAGTATACCAAGTACTTCCTCACTGCAGATATGCAGCTGAGCACGAACGCGAGACCTTCCTCAACAGCGGTTGAAATGTCATTGGTGTCCTTCCAAGCACCTGGAAGTCTGAAAACCCCGCAGGCTGTTCGGTTTACTACGGCGGCCTTTGAAAGCGAGACCGAGTTCACAGGCCATATCGTGGTCCACCTGAACGTGTCGGCTTCGAGTCTTCCAGGCAAGGAGACGATCCCTTCGGAAATCGATCTTTTCATCACCCTTAGGCACCTCGACGCGCAGGGAGCGGAAATTTATTACACGGGCACCGTTGGCGATCCTGTCCCTGTGACGAAAGGCTGGCTGCGCGTCAGCCTCAGGAAGGTGGCCGAAAGCCATCCTCGACACCGCCCTTGGAGACCCCACCGGGAATATCGCTCCACCGACGTTGCTCCAGTGGAAAGCGGGGTAATCTATCCGGTAGATGTTGAGGTGTGGCCCACTAACGTCGTTGTTAGTGAAGGCCATCGGCTGGTCTTGGAAATCTCGTCGGGAGATACTCAGGGGGCGGGGTTGTTTGAGCATAACTCCGAAGTGGATCGTCCTGTTGACTTGCTTGAGGGGATGACCAACATCCACTTCAGTCTCGAGCATGAAAACTGGATCCAGTTGCCACTCATCCCACCCATGTAGATGAAGTTATTTAAATATAATTCATCTGTCCTGCCCCCAGGTGTTTTTATTCTCTATGGCGATCTAATGCCGATGTAGCTGTTTTATAAGTGTCAACTTATGTCCCTACCAATGATTCTTTAGAAGGACGTATGTCTGAAATTCATTCGATCGTTCCTCCTCAACTCACGTCCACGGCAGCCAGTATCATCAACACCAGCCCGACCACGTCTCAAGACCTATCCGCCCAACACCCCAGCCGGCCTCCAATCTTAGAAGCTTGACGGAATCTCCGCCAAAACGTTCTCCATCATGTCGTCGACTCGCAGCCAGAGCAATCTCCGTGGCCACTCAAGATACATTACCACGCATGACGCCGAAGGAAAGGCACGATTCAGCGAGGATGTTCCGGAGCCAGCGCCAGTCCGACGGGTCATGGGCGGCGACATGGAGTTTAGCCTCATGTACACGACGCTGGGCTTCCCTATCTCTATGGCCAACGACCAGGACATAAAAGCGTACCAGGGCTACTTAGCTAATGCACCGGCCATCACAATCCCCGGGGGGACCGCGTGCCGGACGGTGGACTTCCCTCCTGGCTACACGTCGCCGATGCACCGGACCCCTTCCTGTGATTTCGGCATCGTCATAGAGGGCGAGGTCGAGTTGGTCCTGGACTCGGGGGAGACCAGGCTCCTAAAAAGAGGCGATGTCGCCGTGCAGCGCGGGACGAACCATGCGTGGCACAACACGAGCAAGGACAGCTGGGCTAGGATGTTTTACGTGCTACAGTCGGCGGAGAAAGTGGTTGTTGGAGACAAGGCCTTGGAGGAGGATGAAGGAGGAATTGACTGATACACCCAATCATGGGTGTCAAGACTGAGTGTCTGCTGCTAGCCGCTGTGTGCTGCTTGCTGGCGAAGTCTTAGGCCCAATCTAAGCTCTTTCTCCCGAAGAAACGAGACAAATTCTTGCTATCTACTGGAATCGGTGTCCAAGGAGATCACAGAAGAAAAAAAAAAGGGGCACAGTTAGGTAATCGATACTCCATTAAATGTCATGATACCTATCTACTCTCGTTTCTCTTGGGAGTCTTGTTGCTTTGTGGTGAAATATTTTGACTTCTGCCGGTCAAAGAGTCACATGTATAATGCAAATACTGAACCAGACAGTGCTAAAAGGCGATCATGCGCCTGAATCGGCGTAATTACACATCTCATCGAGCCATGAACTAGAGGAGGTGGGCTACGTTTGTGAGTTCACAGTGGTTTCTCCCCAGCCTGGCATCCGGGGGCTCGGTGGTAACTGCTCAAATCTAGGGTGCGGGTGGAGAAGCATCATGGCAGCGTATGGATATGTCTTGTCCAGGCTAGCCATGCACTATTACCATTTTGATCAAATGGTTGGGGGGGTGGAGCGGGGTATCATGAACGGTGAAATTCCCGAGGTGGAGGCGAGTCTAATGCAACAAATCAAATTCAAGGCAAATTGGGCCAGGTGCGCATTATTTCAAATACCCAAAGATTCGAAGGGGTGCGGTCAACAGATGGAGGGCCCACAAATCTCAGACCATCCTTTCTTCCCTGGTAATTAGCCGTTCGGTAAAGAGTACCCACGGAGTTGCCAATATGTGTATTCGATGATAATACTACGAAGTAGTTGGTACTGGAACACGTAGTTGCCAACATTGGACGTCGAAAGGCACAGGCAAACCAACGGCAGTTGCGATGTGGGAGCGCTAGCGACGTGTTGAGCATGCTAGGGCTTCAAAGCAAGATAAAGCTATATTTATGCTTCAATGCTTTGTCGTATAAGCTATCCCACCTTCCAGCGCCCGTATCAGTCGTCAGTCTGTTGCTCCCATTGCTGTGTAAGTATGCAAGTACGGACTCTATGAACACCAACACTTTCACAGGAAACGCAACTGTGACCTCCTGTATTGATAAGAAGACTTAATAGAACCCGGCGAGGGAAGGACCCCTCCTCGCTTCCCCTCTTTGAAAATCAGAAGTGATAGAGTTGACCTGGGCGAGATGATCACATCCCAATAATGACTGCCTTATCATGCAAAAGTAGATGGAAGTAGAAAGACGATATTCAGTATATTCAATGACAACTTCCTTCACTCAGCTAGAGTATCCAAATGCAGATACGTTATAATGAACATGGAGCCTTCCCAGCTAATCAGTGAAGTGATAGCACAGATTTCAGTACGTGCTTCAGTTTCGAAGGTGCCTCCTCTCCCCAGCTCGGGCATCTCCATGCGACAAAGTAGTCGGGCCGCACGAGCACGCATCCAGAGTCTCCAACTCCTCTGATACCCTCCCAATCAAGATACACGTCCTTGTAGTCCTGTCCGTACCCAATAGAGTAGACCCTGATTGGCACGCCGAGCTCCGCAGAAAGCTGTTCGGCCGTCGCTTTCCAGTGCTGACCGCCAATGCCAGTGAAAATAGTGAAATGCCCCTTTCCAGCTAGGTCAATGGTAGAGATGTACTTGGAGGGGATATGATTGCACAACCAGGCGTGCGGCAGACGAGCACCGGGATACGTGGTGGCGTGGTAGTGCTCCAACGGATCTCTGGAGAAGACGGGCATCGCGCCTTGGTCGGCCTGGTAAACAGCGGACGAGACATAGCGCTGATTCATCTCGATGCCCAGGCCGTGCTCTTCTCTGTCGATTGCTCTAAGTGCTTTGGAAAGCCTTTCGCGGCGGGTGTGTCCTTCTGGTGAGTCGGCGTAGATCTCGGCGTGGGCTTTCATACGCTCTTCCACAGTAGGTTCTAGATTGCCGAGCACTTCCCAGATATTCTTGTGGTTTCTCAAAGACGCATTTGCCCTAGTTGCATAGTGAGTATGCGTATATATATTCCAAAAATGGACAATCAACTTACTGCGTGACAACATCCAGCCCAACTGGTTGACGCTCCACGCTATACGTGTCTAGTAGTTCTCTCCCAGCGAGGCCTACGCGAGGAACACATATAGTCAATAAAACGGTCAAAGTCAACAGATATCGGGTGGCTTTTCTCTCTCCTTCAAGTCCCCCGCTTACCTTTCTCCACAAAGTTGATCTTCCACGCAAGGTTGTGTGCGTCTTGAATGCAGGTGTTCGACCCCAACCCGTGGTTAGGCGGATGCCGGTGGACCGCATCTCCGAGGCAGAAACTATTTCGTTTCGTTAGCCATGTAGACAAACATACTCGCGGTAAGAAAGGGGCACGAAAGTAAAAGCGATTGGGAATGGAGTATACTGACACATTGCCCTTTGTGTAGTACTCGGCAGCAGTTTCGTTGATGGCCCAGGTGGACACGCCCAAGACTTTGACCTCGACTGAATCGTCCCCGATCATTTCGCGAATACGCTTTACGTATTCTTCTTCAGACCTCACTTCCCTCGGCGCGTCGGGGGTCGTGAAGATGATACACAACCATTCGTACCATGGCTTGACCATTCTCATGCACCCGATCCATCCCCACTCTGGAGTCTCGAGGTTCGGCTGCAGGATCCAGTGCAAGTTGCCTTTACGGTGCTCCATGAGATGCGACATGTCTGCGTGCATCAGCACGTTGACCGCGAACCCTTGTCCGGGGCGTCGTATCAAGGGGATCTGAGCTTGCCGTACGATCTTGCTGCGTGCACCATCTGCGCCGAAGAGATACTTGGAGCGAACCTGGAAAGTCGTCTGGGAGATCCTATCCAGAAAGGTCGTGGTTACCCCCTTCTCGTCCTGCTCGAATGATACGAATTCGGTGTCCCATCGACATTTGAAGCCGTTCAGAGTCGCATATCGCATCAGCAAGGGCTCCATCAACGTCTGAGGAAGATCCAACATCTCGGAAGGACTTGCGAGCTCATAGTCCCCCTGATTTTTTAAAATGGAAAAAAAAAGAAAAGAAAAAGTCAGCCTGCTACCGATAGGTTCGCCGACTTTTGATTGGGAGGCTTACCTTTCGTTTCGGGTCGTTTCCCCAAGAGTAAATACGGCCATATTCCTGTCCGGCCATAGTGTTGGACCAGCGGGTATGCACCATGGTATCATTCTTTGTCCCGGCCTTGTAGCACTCAACATCAAGCCCAATATCCCGGAGGCAGTCTGTTTTATTTTTAGTCAGCTTTCATTTTTCTTGTCGTCTTCTCTCCTCCCACCACATGCCGCCCTTTTTATATCGGGCGAGTTACGGTTTTGTTCCATACCGATTGCGGCCATATTCGTAATGTGAGCTCTCGGGGTGTCAGCATTGCTCGAGTCCTGGCTGACAATGAGGCCTTTCATCCCTGAGAGAGAGAACACGTATTAGATTCAAAGTAGACGCACGCAACAGCAAGCGCAGCGTGACGCTATAAGGCAAGTGTCGACCCCATGCCCATTTCATTGGGCCTCCTTCCCCCACTCTTTGGTTGTCCTTGTTTTCCTCTTACCATACGATGCCATAAATGCTGCCAAAGATGCACCTGCAGGGCCCGTGCCCACGATGAGGTAGTCCGTTTGAAGGACAGAAGGCAATGTGCCGTTGGCCACTCCGTTCGGTCCATTCATCGTCACGGAATCCATGTGACGTAGCTGTCTGGTGCGTGAACGTCTCGTCGAATAAGATGAAAAGGGTGAAGGAGAGGTTGCAGGGATTAATTTCAACCTGAAGATGAAGGTTTCATGGCACGGTGTTTGATGGGTCTCTGACGGTCTTTCTACTTTTATTTTATTTTTTTTTTTTTTTTTCTTTCGCCTCACATCGCCATACGCCAAGAGATCCCCTCCAGTCCCGATACCGAAGCGGAGAGGTCATCCACACCTGTTAGAAGACCCCAACTCGGGTATTATCGTCTTCGCTTCCCCACCAACGAATCGGGTATTTCTCCAGGCGAAGTCAAAAGCTGCATCGCCTCAAACTGCGGTCCAATTGTGGAGCACCTGGTAACCCCATGGGGGATCGATCCCAGAACGCTGGGTCGGGTGATGCATCTATTCCTGGAAGCCCGGGGAAGCTCTCTCCTATCCAGTAGAATCTGCCGAATTTACAATCGGTTATTTTGCACTAGGCGACACTTTTGAATTAGTGATGGACCCCACAACCTGTCAAAGGTCCGAAAGCCGAACGACCGAACGGTCCCAGCTCCAGCCCCAGGGAAGCGGGGATGGGAGGGGGTGAGAGGGGGTAGACTTTTCACATCGTTGTACACTTGTCAATTTCCTTGAACCAAGACCGAGACTAAAAGCATGGCGTTGATAAAGGGTGCTGCGGTAAGGCCTGGAGGGTCTTTCTTACCTCTTCTGCCTTCAGTTCCGTAGCACGCACACTCCATGATTTTCGTAAATAAAACGTTTAACCTTCACGTGTTTCGCGAGAATCCTCCGGGGTCCTGGAAATGTGAACCGCCACAATGGGCGTTCAGTATTTTCTGGGTAACTCATAAAAGGGTCGGCATGAGGAAGGGAACTAGTCGCGGTCAATGCTCCCTTAGGAGAGAGGACAGAATTTCACTGCCAGTCTCGCCAGCCTCAGTGCTTCTCGGTGGCATTTGTATATACCAGTTAATACATTTTCTAATTGATATTGGTGCAACAATCATCGCAACGACCCCGTCTGTTGGTGGGAAAGAGCCGACTGTGAGCATGGACATCTTTACTCATAATTATTTTCTGGTCCCGTTTAATTTAATGAATCTCATGAATACTAGAGCCTTTCCTCTTTTTATATTGAAACACCTTTGTAGTTGTTTACAAATGGCCATTGCTATGGATCGGCTTCTGAAGGCTCACTGACCATTCATCAAACCTTTCTTCCGCGTCAGCAAGAGCATCAAACCCTAGGAGGCTCCTCTGATACTGTGCATCGCCCCAGTTGAATGAGCAACTTCCCTGCCACTTCTCCCTAGCCAGTCCGGCCAGCTCTCTGTCACGATCCGCTTGCTGAGGGCCATCGGCTAAGTGGTAGAAATGCCGAGTGTGCACAGCACCAGCGACGTTCACTTCCGTCCGATTCTTGCGTAAGTCTTCGTATAGACGCAATAGGCTTGCTAGCCGCTCGTTCTTTTCGATTTGATTCGCGGGGATCCCTGTGCTTTGGAACTTATCCAGAAGTAGGCCCAGGATGGCACCGTCTTCGACGGCCATGGCAGCCCCTTGTCCCTGATATGGCAGCGTCGGATGTGAAGCGTCTCCTAGTAGGGCGATCACTCCCTGTTTGCGTGTAACCCCATCAGCAATCGGGCATTAAGCTTCCATGCCAGGACCATGGATCTGGCTACTGGTCTGCGCCGGCACATACCTTTGTCCACTGGTTGAGCTCTTTAAAGTGAAGGAGTTTCCATTTCAGGGCGGTCTTCAGGCACGAGATGATGTCGTTCAAACTAGATTGAATTGTGAGTAACTATGCCGAAAGGGGATTTCGGAGGAGGCTCAAACATTGGATCCCATCCTTCAAAATTAGCTGCCATTTCCTCCACAGTTCCCGGCGAGGTACGTACACCGTTGGGAAGGTCATCCGCGACTCTGTGCCATGCATTGGTCAGCGATTCTAGAACTAAAGATCAGGGGTTCTAGGCCATCGAAATCAAGAAAGGACAATGAAAAAAAAAAAAGAAAAAAAAAAAAAAAAAAAAAAAAAAAAAAAAACACTTACAGCAAGACGAGATTGTACTCCGTGTGGTTCCTCAGAGGATAGAAGACAGCATGTCTTCCCGGCCCTAACCATACCTGTACGTTTGACTGCTCAAGCAGCTTGTCCATTCGTTCATTCTTGAGGCCTTTCAGTTGATCACGAGTGAAGGTGCCGCGGTATGCCAAATCACCCGTTTCGGTAGGTGGAAAGGGGCATTCCAATACAATTTCACGGATTAGAGACCAGAGCCCTGCTCATAAGATTTTCTCCTTTTTAGCGTTGATTCCCCAGCTGTGCTCAGTATCTGGATGAAAAAGTTCGCCATACCATCTGCGCCGATCACCACATCCGCGCTGATGCGTCTCCCATCCTTCAACAGCACGGTCTGGGGACCATCCGCTGCTGAACAGATGCCGGTGACCTCTGCACTTGTCACCGCATGTGCTCCAGCAGCTAGAGCCTCGTCAAGCAGTACTTTCTGATAGTCACCTCTGTGTATGGCTCTGTTGCCCGGATCGATCCAGAACAACTTCGTTAGCGCTTTCATCTGTTCCAGTCGGCGATAGATTAAGTTTGGGCTTTTTATCTGCTCTTACATCCATTCTGCCCCGTATTCCGCCTTTGTTCTATCCTTGAGGGGCTTTTCAGCAAGAATATGGCCATTCTCATATCGTCTCAGCGTGAAATCCTGCACCTGGTACCCGCCAGCCTCTTTGAGCTTCTCGAGCAGCCCAAAACGGGTCAGCACCCGGCAGGCGTTTGGGGGGATATGGATCCCTGCACCAAGCGCCAGGATTTCCGGTGCCCGCTCGAGAACGGTAACCTGGAGGGGCGGGTTTGCTCGACGGCATGCGATCGCACAAGCCAGCCCACCGATACCCGCACCGACGATTACCACATGGAGGCCGCTGGCGCTCTGAGAAGACTAGTTTCGAAGGGGAAAAATTAGTCCATGAAGGGCGCGCGGTGGTGTGGACTCGGTGTATACTTGCGCTGGTCTTCGACGTTTTTGCGGTCATTGTAATAATTGTTAGTCGGGATGGCCTTTCGCGACTTCGGATTGTTTCTAGCCGGAATAGAAATAGAGGTATGTACTGTACGGCTCCTTCCGTCGAGGTGTTGTATTCAACCACAGTTCAAATGGGGCGCAGAAAATTGTAATTGTTTTTAAAGCACCACTGTCACATATTTGATCCGGTTATTTTGCCTCTAACCTTCACAACCAAATCTTCCTTGAATGTGGAACTCCACACCACAACTCCACCTCGGAAGTTTGGTCTTGAGGCTTAGGCGTGCCAAGGAACATGACCAACGACTAATTAGCCGACTGCGGCCTGGCGATGTCTTACCATCAAATGCATGTCCAGGATCCCCCACCTTCACCTTAGGTTCTAAAATGCAGATGTCACATTTCTGCCTAGTACTCAGGCCCTTCTTTCGACGGCACAGATTCGCCCCCGGTATCCTGGCATGCTGGAAACTATCCCCCAAAATCAACCGATCGTTTGTTGTTGTCGACTGCGAGATGAGTTTACCCATTAATGTTCCAAGCCCATATGCCGAAGGTGGATATGCCTCCTTTGCCTTTATGGGCGTTTGCGTGACTTCAACTCTCCTCATTCTCCCCTTTCTCCCCTTTGGACTGGACAGATGAGTAAACCATCGCCCCCCATTAATTCTCGGACCTGTGCCATGCGTTCGCCGGTAACATGTTCCCATGGGATTAAAATCTGCTACGTCTGGTCCTTGTTTTTCCATCTGAATTTTGTTGTTCGCATGAAGGTGTTTCATCATCGGGTTTGAACACTGAATGCAATATAGAGACGCTTTCATTGTGATAGCACGTAAAGAAAGTGATGATATTAATTAAGCGGCGTATTCTCGATAGATGTTCCCACACATCTTGTTCGAACAGCACATAACTAGTACCTCTTCCTCAACCCATTCTGAGCCACTCGCAATCCGCAATACCTACCACATCCAATATCTTCTTCCAATTCCATCCAGGTGTGCTTGGTTCAGTGAACTAGAGTAGGCTTGACAAGGACGGTGGCCGCCCAGGGCGAAGTGACTCCTCTATCCTTGGGTCTCATCATCTCTTCCGTCATGCAGCAATCATTCTCCATGTCGTAAAGTTGATAGAGCCTTGCAAGCGTCAACGTCAACCCGATCTGGGCGAGGTGTCTGCCGATGCAATTTCGGGGCCCGTAGCTGAAAGGCCGCGACATCTCCTTCATTTCTTTCCCTGGGTTTAACCATCGATCTGGATTATACACTTCGGGGTCGGGAAATACCTCCGGGTCTCGGGAGGTGGCGTGAGACGACGTCGACACAATCGTTCCCTTGGGGATGTAATGCCCACTGATAAGCCGGCCAGGCGACACCCTAGGGAACGCAGCGCTGAGGGGTCCCCAAATTCGAAGGGTTTCTTGGATGACTGCGTCTAGGTAGGGCTGGTTGGTAAAGAGGCAATCAATTAGCTGCTATGAGTCTCCAACTATAACGGGAGCGAGCCATTCTGATAGGCGGAGGCTTTAAAGGGTGCGGTTCTTACCAGTTTCGAGGCGCGTTCGTAAGTCGGCATTTCTTGAGGATCACGAAAAGCAGCTCGGATCTCCTCCACCAACTTCATCCTCACGGCTGGCCTCCTGCCACACTCCCAGATGGTGTAGAGCGTTGTCACCGCAGTGGTATCGCTTCCGGCGACCAGGAATATGATGGTATTCTCGACCAACTCTTCAAATGACAGCTTACTTCCAGATTCGGCGTCCTCGGCATCGACAAGATTCCTCAAAAATGTCCCTTTCGCAAACTCAGGATCCGCCTTTACCTTTTCGCTGAAGCTCTTGACGCTATCTTGACTAAATGCGATGAGCTTATTTAGACCCCGATAGCCATCTTGGATATATTTAATAGGGAAATATCTCAGTAATGGAAAGAAGGATTGGATGGGAACAACAGTCATACTATTATTACATGTAAGGATTCGAATCAGCAACTTTATGACAAACAAACGCAACACCCAGGAGATACACAGGGGGGGAACTTACAATCGATCAAGGTCGTCATGGTTCATCTCTCCACAGCCCGAAATAGAGTCAAACGATTTGCCAAAGCTGAGATAGCTTACAATATCGAGGTAGTGCTCCATCGTTTTGTTATAGATATCGACCGATTCGCCTCTTCTGGCCGCCGGAGCGATGACTGTATTAATGTACACGTCCACCCTTTGACGAATAATGGCTTCATCCTGGAGGAGCGCCCTCTCGGAGAAGCTATGTGAGACCAAGCGCCGGAGGCGAGAGTGCTGCCCGCGGTCAATTTCGTTTAGAATGCTGGTGGCCCCAGTGGCAGTGAACATGTCGTAGAAGGAAGGCTCTTTGGTGCAGGGGTTAGAACTCTGACCGTAGATGTCCTGCCAGGACTTCATGCTCCCGAAGATGAGCTCATTGGTCGATATTCGGACAGGATCGCCGTACTTCTTCAACATTTTCGTCTGCCAGGTAACGCGGTCCATCCGGAACATGGCCATCATCTTCGGCAGGTCAGTGAACTTGCCCAGCAATGGGCCGGGGTACTTGGCAAGCTGGTGGAAGAATACGCGATAGACGATGATAGAGATGATGTAAAAAAGCAGAAGGGCATACAACGCTTGTGAAAGGCGCAAGGCCTCCAGGAACCCCATTGCTACGTGCACCAAAGCCATTGCGGTGAAAGATTGATAATAATACAACTACCGTTCAACTTGAAGCAGTCGTGATGGTTGCTTCATCTCTCGCGGCCGAGGCGTTCGATCGTCACGTTTTTATATATTCTACTGACAAGGAACTACTTACAGAAACCGCAACGGCAACGGCAAGGTTAGAGGTGGAGGCGTTCATGCGAACATTTGGTTACCCCATCCAGCGTAGGAAATTATCCGATCTTCGTCTAGGTGCCCCAGAAATTACCGAACACTAGGAAATATGCCGAGGCGCTTGCAGCTAGGCACAGGAGTCATAAAGACATCACTCGACCTTTCTCGTCATTGATAGATACCCAACAGAAACAGAATATTATTCCAGAGGCCTCAAGAGACATTAATCATGGCGTCGTTTTATACGAACGCTCCAGCCCCGAGCGGTTTGCTCCACAAAACCAACGATCATGGCGCCGAGAGATATTCACCTGGACTCAACATTGTCATTATTGGTGCCGGTATTGGTGGACTTACCGCGGCCATTTACCTGCGGTACCAAGGGCACGCAGTGACGGTGTTGGAGCAGCCTCATTCCACGAACGACACCGCCACCGTTCTGCATCTAACGCCCAACTCGAATGGACTGCTGAGGCGCATCGGGATCTTCGCCGAACATCTTGACGCCAACTCTGTGGAAAGTGTGAGTGCAGACGAGGAAGAGATGAGGACCGAGACTGCTGACAAGTATACGGCAACCACAATGCAGATTAGCGAGTATGATGCAAACAACCGGCTGCTACGAAACACCGACCTGACCGACTCTAATACACTCTGGCTGCATCCCTGGCATTTAGTAAATCGTGCACGTCTCCATGAGGAACTAAATCGTCGCGCTACTTCTCTCGAGGGAGAGGGCGTGCCGGTCATTATCAGAAGGTGCAGTTGTGTTGCTGATATCGATGCTACCTCTGGCACTGCTCTGTTGGAGAACGGAGAAAGAGTACAAGGCGAGGTTCTGATCGGGGCCGACGGGATACATGTGGGTCTCATCTCGTATCCATTGTTCTGCTTTCCCTGAGACTAGACCCCGTCTACATATGTTATGGGCTCTTCTGCGAGGAGAAATTCCCGTCCCACGACACCTGAGATTAACTGCCCGCAATTATGACAACACCATGAACTAACGGGAGCCATCCATCCAGTCTAAAGCTCGCCCCAAAGTCCCAGGAGGAGACATTGGCACGAAAGCATCGGGAAAGAGCGCGTTCTGCTTTCAGGTTCCTCGACAAGTGGCCATGGATGACGTACTGACGCGAGAATACGCCGAGAAAGACGGTCAGGTAATTATTTGGCACGGCCTGGATAGGCGTGTGATGTTATACCCATGTGAAAGCAACAGGCAACTCAATTTCGTGTGCATCTGTCCAAGAGAAGAAATTGAAGGTGATAATAACCCCAGTCGTGAGTGGCATTTCACGGGCATGCGGAAGGAAGGGGAAGAGAAAGCTTACATCCAAGCAGAGTGGATCATCAAGGCCGACAAGGCCAAACTAATTGATGTCTATAAGGATTTTGACCCGTCGCTTGTGGCACTGATGGGCAAGGCTGAGACAGAGACATTCGATGCTTGGGAGCTCTTGGACCTGGGTGTGCTCCCGACCTGGGTCCACAAACGCTTGGCGCTCCTGGGCGATGCCGCCCATCCATTCTTCGCTGGTAAGTAGTAGAGACATCGAAAACTATTAATTACAATCCCTTACCAGGTTTACAGATCAGAGCCAGGGGGCAGGATGCGCCATCGAGGATGCTGTCGCCCTGGCTGTCGTTCTGCAACACGGTATCACGGCGGGAGAGGTGCCGGAAAGACTGCGCCTATACGAGAAGATTCGCAAAGAGCGCGCCAACCGAGTACAGGAATATTTGCGATTGGCAGGGCGAGATCTGAGAAATAAGGGACTAGAGTTGGGTAAGGAACGAGTTCCTCTGCGGTCACTTTCTATCTGCTTACAAGTCGGTCAAAGTAACCGAATTCACGAATTACACTTTCGGGCACGATGAGTGGGACAATTCCACGAACATTATGCGCAAGTGGGACTGGTCGCGTAAACCAGGTCTCTACTGGAGAATGCCCGTCTCCTTCGGACCCTTTCCGGGTCCTCGTCAGACATTTGAGGGCCGGCCCAGGAGCTCCGCGCAGTCCACATTCACAATTGCTTCGATCAAGTTCAAGACATCTCGTACTATTCTCGAGAACCTCTTCCCGTCGTCCTCGTTCCGATTTAAGAGTCCTGGTACGGTAGCTTATGCCAGCTTCTCCCAGACAACCCTTGACAAGATGGAGTGGCTTGGTGGTTCTGGCTATAGATACTTTGGGCTCTACATCCACGGCGTAGAGTACGTTCAGAATGACGGTCAAGTGCTCGAAGGCACCTTCTTGCCAATTCTATTCGAGGATTTAACAGACCCGATCATCAGTGGGCGGGAGGAACTAGGCATACCGAAACTATACTGCTCAATCGACCTGTGGAGGCGCAACTCTAGTTACTGGATCCAAGCGGGATGGCAGGGTGCTAGCTTTGGCAAATTCGCCCTAGATGGCTTGAGGGAGGTGAGCCTGGGAGACGATAAGGGGACTATCGGAGGTGAGGACGACCACGGCATCTTCTCATATAAGTACGTTCCTGCCGTTGGACAGCGTGGCAAAGCGGACGTTGAGTATGCGATATTTGTGCCGCATGCCGAAGAGGCAAAAGCTGTCGAGAGCAAGGTGCAGAAAGTTTATAAGGCCGACAGAGCGTCGGTGTCTCTGGACCCTCTTCATTGGGAAGCGCTGCCAACCTTGTACCATATAGTCTCAAGATTGGCCGAGATTCCTGTCTATGAGGTTGTAGAGGCAAAAGTTGTTGAGGGTGTTGGCGTGCCTAATTTCTCTAGTGCTAGAAGGATCGACTAAGTCTACAGTACGTACTAGATATTACACTCTAATCCAGCCTGTACTATCAACTTGCTCAACCAAAGCGGGAGGGGCTATCGAAAATGGGGCATCAATGTCCATGTCGGCCTATATGTTGAAGGTAAGGCTCTTGACGGTTTCCACTGGGAACACCCGCGTTTCGCTTTACCTAGATCCATCTCGTCCCCTAGCTATCCACAGGCCCAACACCCGGAACGGTTGTCTTTTAGGTTAGTGGCATCTTCTCTTCGACGTCTCTAGATATGGGCGTTCAGGGTATCTCGCAGAGAGTCCGACAGATCAAATTCAAGATGAGTGAGTCGAATCTTAAGAAACATCTTCCCTAAGGCCTGCCCTGCTTCTCCTTCACTGGATTACCCAATATCCTCTATATGTAAATATTGCGACAGATTAATGACAGAGCATACGATAAGTTCGTTTTCATGGATGATGGTGCCAAGAATAACGGCCGGATAATCAACCTTGCTGTAAAGCGAACGGGGTGGCGGATCAAATCACTGGAGATCCCCTATTCCGGAAGCTCGTCTTGATAGGCTGATTCGCGAAGCCCACCATTATTAATCCCGTTCGTCCACGCGAGACTTTTTCCCAGTTCCCGTCCAGCGCCCGAGGTTCGGGTCCGCCAATAGAGAAACTGCGCATCCATGCGCGGTGTCTCATCTCTGACTCTCCCGGAACAACGGGCGAGCCGAAATGCATCGTACACTCTGTGAGTGAATTGGTTCTAAATCCTCTCCAAGAAAGTGTACTCCATGGGGAGTTGGGTCACGAATCATCGATGCTGCAGTTTACTACAACTGGTTGGGTAAGATACCACCCGTCGTTGGCTCAAAGACCCGGGGAACACTTTATTGATGACGAATTTTTCTTAGATTATGTACGTCGCCTGCGATGCTGCTCTCATTCTCGGGGCCTGAACAGTTCTTTATGACGGGTCCCCGTTTTATCCAGATCCTACTGCATTCATAATGCTGTTGGCAAATCAGACCGTGACCAGTTTTGAAGCAAGCCCTAGATGGATGTCCGAGATGCTGAAGCTGGGTGCCTCCCCCAGGGAGGTGGCGGATCTTTCAGTTCCGCGGACTGTTTCTAGCACTGGTATGGTGCTGTCAGATTGCGTTTCGAGTGGTTCTATGACATCGGGCTCCCGACCACGTCAGGTTGGGGAACATGCCTGGTGGAACATTGTAGGTTACGTTCCAGTCTCCGCCTTTGAAAAGGTGTGTCACTGCTGACATGTGAAATTTCAGGCCGGCTGCTTCGCCTTGGGTAATCCGATATCGTCACTTTATGTCCGTGGGCGTCAAGGTGAGGCAGTCCCTTTACAGCCTTTTCTATGGTAGGTGTGAAATACCTTGGCGAGAAATACTGAACATTATTATTTCTTTACGGTCAGCGCTCGGAGTCGCCATAGCTGTCTACGATACGGACGCCCCCTTTGACGGGCCGACCCATCCCGTCGGGAACAGCGGGTTATAAACCAGTCCCTAAGGTCCCCATGTTTTTCTGGAATGAGGCCACGCCACAACCTACGGGCTCCAGATTTTACTCTCCCTCCTTCGTCAAACACAATCACGTCTGGACCCAGGGCTATTCGTCTCAGTCCACCCGGCGACTAGGACCCTCATCCTCCACAGTCGCGCGGACAGGTTTCTCAACCCATCCGGGGTCCGCTTCGGGGGCGCTGAAATTTACAACGTTCTGGAGCGCCAATTATCTGACGCTATCGTCGATGGCATCTGCCTAGGGCAGCGTCGTCCTCGGGACCCCGACGAGACACTGATTCTCTTCCTGCGGATGAAGCCGGGCCATAGGTTCAACCAGAAGCTCGTCAAGAGGGTCATAAAGAACGACCTAGGCCCCAGGCACGTGCCCAAATTCGTGTTTGAGGAGGTGCCGGAAATCCCTGTAGCTTATTTTTCTCTTGTCCCCCCAGCCCCGCTTTCCAGCGGTCGATCTGACCAGGTCCAGTACTGGGTCATATAAAAGAGGTAAAACTTTTATTATTATTAGGAGGAGAAATCCAGGAAGCATGCATCCGTCGATGCTCCCTACTCGCGCAAAGTGCGAAAAAGAAGGGGAAACTAAATCAGGTTTAGCACAAGCCCTACTAATACTTTTGCGTGTGGCAAGGACTTGCTTGGCGAACCAATTCCCGAGGGTACAGCTTCCGTGGTGGAACAGAGTAACTCTCGCCTATCCTTCTTTGTTGGGTTGTGGCAGGCATTAATTCAAGCAAGGTGCCATTAGATCGTCAGGGTTGCCCCGTCGATTGCGTGAACCTTCTTTACGACTCCAACCAGAAACCCTGTGGAAAGACAGTCTGGGACAAGGACTTTGGCGCACCAGCGGAAGCTTGAATCCGACAGCCTCTGCAGACTGTACACTAGGGCCTTTTGGCCTCCATTATTCTCCACACGCACCATTAAGCTTTACGAATCCCCCGCAAATCCGGGGTCCCCAGATTAGCCTCCACCTCACCCCGCGTCAGGACTCCTTCGATTCATACCACCGCTTCGGAATTCGACTCCGATAGCCTGCCTCGCTGAGGATTGAGAGTCAGTGTCATGATACAGAATCTATATAGAGGACTAAGTCCTCGGCTGCTCGCTGGCCTGGCGAAAGCTCTACACCATCCTTTCTTATGACGACTGTCAGTCACCCAGATACTTTTGGAAAAGGCGACCATGCTGCGACCCCTTCCACTGCTGTGCCTCGTTGTACTTTTCAACTCTGTCACTGGCCAGAGTGAAAAGGACTGGAAGGGTCTCAATGCCTCTGTGCAAGGGCGTCTACATACACTAGCACCATTGGCCCTCCCGTGCTTTTCACAGCATGATGGGCAGCCAGTAGACGTGGACGATGCGGCTTGCAACGCCGTGCGCGACAACTATACGTCCACTATATTCCGCTCAAGTCGACCAAACGGCTATACCTTCCTCCAGAACGAGATTTGTGTTGGGGACGAAATGGATCACTGTCTCTTGGACGATTCCGTCAAGCCTGCTGCGAAACCGGGAGCAGGGAGCTCCTGCAACCAGGGCAGCGTCCCGTCATGGTATATCGAGGTCCATAAGGGCTCGGACGTCGCCGCCGCTTTCGAGTTTTCCAAAAAGCATGGCACCCCCCTCGCTATCAAGAACAGTGGTCATGACATGTTGACTAGAAACTCCCAGAAAGGGGGCTTGTCACTATGGGTGGGCCGGCTGCAGGACAAGGAGTACCACAAGGACTTCGTCCCGAAGGGCTGTCACAAGAAGGAAGCTGTCGGCCGAGCCGTTACTGTCGGGACGGGGTCCCCCACTGCTAGCATTCACGACTTCCTCTCTCAGTACAACAGCACCTTCGTCGGCGGTTTTTCGGGGACTGTGTCTGCGTCGGGAGGCTGGGTCCAGGGAGGCGGCCACAGCATCCTGTCGCCCGTGTTCGGTCTCGGCGCGGACCGGGTCGTTCAGTTCACGGTCGTCACGCCAGACGGGAAAGAGAGAATCGCCAACAGGTGCCAGAACTCAGACCTCTTCTGGGCTTTGCGTGGAGGAGGCGGCGGCACCTTCGGCGTCGTCTTGGACGCCACACACAGAGTCGAGCCCGCGGCGCCCGTTGCATGGGCCATGATCACCATACCCCCCAGTTCCTCAGATAAGACGGTAATGGAGTGGCTCGAGCTGCAGGCACAAGAGTCTCTGAAATTAGGTAGGGAGGGCTGGGGTGGACATGTCGGCGGTTTGTACCTAAGGCGCGTGAACCCTATCAAGCCCATCGCCAATGTCCACGACGGAGGCGCTGCCGCTAGAGCGTCGCTCCAGAAAGTCATCGACTTTGCTCGTGCGCACAACGGGACCAGTACCGTGGAAGTCCTCCCAACGTTCTACGAAGTCTACACCAAGTACATCAACCCAGGCGGGCTTCAGAACTCGGGCAGGGCGAGGTTTATGTCTACCCGCCTTGCGCCGCGAACGATGTTTGAAGACAAAGGAGGAATCGCGACGCTTATGCACTACATCCAGAAAGTTTCCGATCTGGGTTTTGCCCCCAGAGACTTTTACATTTCTGTCGGGTCTCCCTACGTGGCAGACGCAACGCGCCCCAGGGACCGCCACCACCGAAGCGAGACATCTGTGCATCCTGTCTGGTACGATGCCCTTTGGCAACTCGCTGTCAGATTTGACATGGCCTGGAATGCCACCAATGAAGAGAGGGTCAAGAGCTTCACCGCACTGGGCCGGGCTACCATGATCCAGGAGGAGCTGACCGGCCCCGACGGAGGTTCTTACGGCTTGGAGACCAACCCCTTCACTACCAATTGGCAGAAATCCTGGTGGGGTCCAAACTATAAGAGGCTCCTGAAAATCAAGAACAAGTACGACCCGCACCGATTGCTCAACTGCTGGAAGTGTGTCGGCTTTGAAGAGTCGGACCTTGAGAGTGAGAGATTCCAATGCAACAGCAAAATGCAGCAGGCTATCGACAGGGCTATGGATGTCTAGACAATAAGGGCAAGACATATAATAGGTTTATAATTTAGAAGTTGGAACCCCCCTCTTAGAGCCCCCCCAAAATTTCAGCCTCCCAACTCGTCATCACTTTCATTCTTAATTATTCCTATATTTCATACTGCTTCAATGCAAGAAGTCACTAAATTAGTACTTTTGCTATCGCTCTTTTTATCAGTACTAATTTTAACTTCTAAATTATCTATAAGAGCCATCTATACTTAATCAATGGCTCACGCGGCGCGGTGCATAGTGCGTTTGAGCACATCGTTGCTCCGGAGCTGCAGGACATCCCCACGTTGAAATCTACGGTTCTGGGGACATCACGGGCGTGAATTTCCCCTTTTCATTGGGTCTTCGACCTCGGGCCCGCCTACGTGAGTTTAGAACAGGAATGTCACTACTAGATTGCTATTACTTTGTATACGAGACTCGAAAGAAGGAGAAGTTTCTTATGGTGCCATAAAATTTCACGCAACCATCGCGGGATCAAAAGGAAGTAGGACAGCCCGCCCGGGGGGGTTGAGGGTTGGAAATAGTCTTGTAGGACTTACTCCAATAATCATGCGCCGGATACCGTAGCAGCCGAAGCTGGTTCTCTCTTCCCAGGTGAAAAGGAAGGAGATAGTCTCGTTTCAGGCCTGGCCACACGGCGATTGCTTCAGTAGGTCATCCTGTACCTGAAAGCACGTCGCGTAGAATCGAGTAAAGAATCCGCAGAAAACCTGGGAGGACGTCGCTTGACGGGAAGACGTTAGGCATCGATGCATCGTCCTCGCGACCAATGTCGAAGGACTCTTTGACGTCGGGCACTTGGTCACGGCGGGTAGAGAGGTGGCGACTGAGGCTGTGGCGCCGTGAACGACTTTCTCTAGCCCAGGGGATGAGGAGGACCTGTAGTGCGCGCCAGAGGCCGGGCGTGGAGCTTACTTCTTCTCGGACAACGGAAAAGTGAAGGATTGTTCTCTCTAAAAATGCCGAGTTGTGAGGCTGCTCGTAGGGCGCGGGGAGAGGTACTATTATTCTGTACTCCTCCAGTACATACCCATTGAAACGCCTCGCTGACGAGTGATTGCAGTATGCCATTGTTCTCGATATAGGCGGCGAAACTGGGGCATCGAACAGGCATCACCACAATCTCCGGCCGATAGTTCCGAAACATCCAGAGCGCCTTTATCAGAGTAGCCAAAAAGGATTCGTACTCGGCCCTACCCGTTCATCCCCATTATCGACCTCGACACTTTTCGCTCAGAAATGGAATCGGAGGCCAACAGCACCGCGGATCGCCTCCTGGAAGTTTTGAAGGAGATTGGCTTCGCCAGACACAGCATGTTGTGCGGCCTACGAAGTACATACCAATAAATCGCAAGAAGCCCACTTGTACAGTTGTACTGTTGTGAATTCCCAACCTGCCACCGTCTGCCAGCAGCGGAGAAAATTCACAAAGCTGGCCTCTCGCTCTCGCCGTGTCCTCCGTGGCCATGCTGCCTAGTGGAATGGTCCGCCAGGCCCCCGACGATCTATCAGCGGCACTTACTGCCGAGGTCACCACCAAAAGGGCTTAGCTCGATATCGCGGTCCTAGTGCGCTCCGAATTCATATACTGGATCGACCACGTCCGATACTGTTAACCAGCCGGTAAAGTCTACAATGTCTGAAGCCCTACGACAATGGGATGATGACCGTACACAACCCTCTCGAGGTAGCGGCGGCAAAGCACAAGGGTACAAAGGTGTTCCCGGGTGGTGTTGTACGGCTGATTGGCCCAAGCGAGTCGCAACGATCGCCGTGTCGGGGCCTCATCGCGCAACCCATACCCATAAACCCTGGGCTGCCATACAGAAGTCATTTTAGCACGCCGTAGTTCGGGAAAATATCAATGGGTTGGGAGGTTAGTGGGTGAAACTCACGCCGTCTACCATGCAGCCGCATCCCATGCTCCTAAACGTTTCGATGGCAAAAATCTCCCCTTCCTCCATCTTATTGTGGTCCAAGTTCTTGACGAAGGGGATGGGCCTTGGCGCCGTGGACGTGATAGCGCTCGATGTCGTGACGGCCGATATTCGGCCCTGGCTTTACGGGGTACAGTTTACCACCGATCTCGACCACTCAGCTCTCCATGACATCCTAGATCGCGGCTCTAACATCGCTGATGCGGAGGTCGATCCCGGCGGCCTACGGTAAAGATTAGCTGGATAGAGCCTGAATAACATGAATCTACGGATTATATACCATTTTATCAATATCCTGCCATTTTTATACCCGTATTTGGATAGAATTTCCAGATGCTGGCTTAATTTCTCTAGGGCAGCTGTTTAGGATTAGCGCTTTACAGCTCAGCCGGGGTCCTCGAATATATTTGGTTATACAATTCTAGGGAACTTTAAGACATACATGTGCCACGCCCAAAATAATTTTGTCGGGGGGTTTTTGTCGGGGGTTTTTTCTCGCGGGGTTTTGTCAGGGGGTGTTCTTGCTATAAAAGGAAGGGGA